GATTTTTCACGAAGCAGGATAGTGGCTCGTGGAGTACAAGAGCTTCAAAGTAAACGTCGACGTCTTCGAAAACGATATTGATAAAGTAGCTCGTCAAAAGGCTTGTGTTTCTGCAGACCTAGCTAGGCAGGAATGAGGATGCAGGAAGAGAGGTGTAGTCAGCAGTTTCAGCACTTGCTACAAGTCACACAGAGGCAACAGCGCACTAGAGAGTAGATAATATTATGCAGATTTGAATTCAAAGCATGCATGGGCTGCTACGTGCAATACTGGTGCTCTGTGAAGGCTCCTTGTCCGTACATATAGGGCAAGGATCATGCTGCATGCGGAGCATCAGATACTGTATCGTAACAAAAATAATAAAGAATATAGGAAGAAAATTACTGGATAGCACAATACGTAGTGGATCAACAGTGGTATGTGTATATCTGACTAGCACCATGCCGAAAGAGCATTAGTGTACCAAACTACTACAGATGCCATCGCGATGACAAGAGCAACACTTGAGCTGGCATGTTTGCATGCCTTGGAGCCAGGAGTATTCTGATGAAAAGCACCTGGTGTGATAGCTTTTTTCCTTGGAGGCAGCACTTCAAGAGAATGATTCTACAGATAGAAAGAATAAGATTCACAGAAAGTTGACAACCGTAATCAATAAGACAAGCTGAATCGACATTTGTGTATACTTTATTCGTGCAATGTAAAACGGTCATGACAATGTGCAATGAAACGATGAAAATAGGAAGAAAAAGTGTAGAGAACAAATTTTGAATTATGGCCTAAGAAGAACTACATTGTGGGCGACACTACGGCTATAAAAGCGTGCTTTCAGGTAGGCTTTCCCCAAATCGGCCCGTTTTTCGTCTATTCGGCTTTTCGCTCAGCTCAAAAATACATCAGTCTAGTCGGCTTTTCGCTCAGCTGCAAAATCAGCATATTGTTCGAAAATCAGCTGCAAAATTGGAATATATTGGAAATCGGCTAAAAGAATTGTTGGCATATTGGCTTCAAAATTGGTGAGATAATGGAGGATTTGGTAGATTTTCGGCGATTGGCCGATTACTTTCTTGTGGCTTGCGCTTCTCTTGCCTGCACAGCGCAACAAGATAATGTTGATGCGGCGGCGCTGTATCAATCAGAATCACCCACCCTTCGCTCTCGAAATCCACTCGAAATGTAGCTAGACCTTTCAGGCCCTAGTAAACTAACTTACTAACCAAAATTGCGATGAAATAGGCTGCCAAGTAAGCATTGGCGACATATAAACAAAGCTGAAAGATAAGCGACAATATCGCTGACGCGGACCAAGTATTGGAAATCGGCTAAAAGAATTGTTGGCATATTGGCTTCAAAACTGGTGAGATATTGGAGGATTAGGTAGATTTTTGGCGAGTAGAGAGGTTAAGTTTCACGTAAAAGTCTTACGTCCGTGAACTTTTACGTCAAAAAGTGAAAAAACTCACGTAAAATTTGACGTGTTTTACGTGAGTTGACTGTCCCGCACGTAAGTTCATGACGAGAGTTTTTGGAAGTTTCGCTTGGTTATCCCGACCGAATTTGTGTGAGTTTCCGGAATTTTATCGAGATTTATCAAGTTTGTTGGAAGATTTGATATTTGTGCGAACTAAACCCGAATCCTGCCAGGCAAAATTTCACGTAACGTCGCACGTGTAACTTAACCTCTAAAAATTACACGTAACATGAGATTTGCACCTCGTTTTGAAAAAGAGCAAAAACGTGTAACCTAACCTCTCTATTCTCAAAGAAACCCTCCAAAATCGGCAAATTGCAAAGCGATTTTAGATAAGTCTCATTTTCGGAGAAAAATTCGGCCGGCCGATTTTGGCATTTTACTGGTAACGATGGCTCTATATCCTATGAACTATACTGCAAGCCATGTCAGAGCGGTTTGGCATCAGACTACAACTCATAAGTTCCCAACAAGCAAAAGAAAGCAATTGCTTCCTCTGAGTTCTTGCGTGCCGTCTGTCTATCTTCAGATGCTGATACCCTTAAAAGAAGTGAAGAAAAGGTAACCAGCATCCTACAATTCAACAACTACCCAGAGTCAGGTATGGTTTCCGCACGTGAACGAGCTGTGCGCTCTCGACGTGGCAGAGTGCAGAATGATTACCGTGTCACCCTCAACCTACCGTTTCACACCGAATCTATCCACTACAAAATTCATAAATTACACCGTAAATTACAAGATATAGGCCCAGCTGATCTACAGGAGCCGCCGTCTAAGTTCGATGATTTGCACGTCTGCGCTCATCAAACCACTATGCCGCAGGTATGCAGACCCGTCCAAGCCTTGTAAACGGGGGTGGCCCAAAGCTGCTTGTGTCGCCTGCATGTCTGCATGTCTGTCAGAAACATGCACAGAGCGAAATGTTGTATACCACCTCGACTGTAAATGTGGTGATAGATATGTCGGGGAGACTTACCGCAGCCTCGCCTCCCGGACCAAAGAGCACAACGATAACACACGCTTGCAGCCAAGTCAAGAAACTGAGAAGTTTGAAGTCCAATCCGGTATTGAGGATTGTCCAAACTAATCCTAAAGAAGTAAGATCTCTTTCTCCATCTCTGTCTCTCCCTATATCTTCTCCCCCCCCCCCACCCCCCCCCCCTTCCTCCTCCCCTCTCTCTCTCTCTCTCTCTCTCTCTCTCTCTCTCTCTCTCCCACACACACACACACACATACTTTCTATTTCTGTCTGTCTCCATCTCTCTCACGCACTTTTCAGGCACTGTCCTCCTCAGCCTACTCAAGCTCAGCTGATGAGCGGTACATTCCCCGAAACACTGTGTATTAAGCAGGGATTGGTGCTTTGTTGCGGGGTTTGCCTAGTAGAAGGTGCGATGTGCTCCCCGCGTGCTCCGGATGGCAGCCGTGAGTCAGTGAAGTGCCAAGTTCGGCCAGCGGCCTATGGTCCTCGTCGGAACAACCAACTTCATGATTAAGACCGCCGAAGTCGCAACTTTTAAGTTCGTAAGTTCATATAATGACAAAATAATTCATTTAGAATTATGACACTACTGTTTGCTCTCCATTTGTTAGTGTAGCGTATCCCCGTACGCTAGCTCTTACCTGTGAGTTCAAACTTGAAGTCGGCTCATTAGTTTCCAGCGTAACTGCAGTGAAGCACACAGTGCAGCATACATCACCAATCAGGATACGGCTCAATTCAGATATGGCTGACTTGACGCGGAGAAGGGGCCAGCTTTCCTGCGTAGCTATAAGCTTGGACGTATTTCAGTATAGTCGAGTAGAAAAATTCAAATTTGTTCAAATCAAGAAAACCCAAAAATGATGATGGTGAGCATGTCCCCAGTGTTAGAGGTGTTCTACTATCTGCTCATGTATAGTTCTTGCTAAGGGCAGGTTCTGACGATGGGTGACTGGCCCTAAACGGCAATAATTTGTTCGACATCACAAATGAAAGATTTTTTTTATCCAGCACATGCACCAATAGTGAATGACACCTGAAGAGAGTGGTTGTCAGTTGACAACCCCTGCCCCCCCCCTTTATCCGGTACTCAATACTCTTGCAAAGAAGAAAGTACAGTAAAACCTGCGACTAACGACCACCCCTTGGTGCCAGTAAAAGCGGTCTTTAGTAGCAGGTGGTCTTTAGTTAGAGGTTTGCACTGCGTGACCATATATGGATCCCATTATATGATATGTATGTCAACATGCAGCTAATAACGTTACAATTCCCCAGGATTTGCGCAATACCATTCTTATTTCAGGTCAAACAACACTTGGAGAGAAAGACGGAGAGGTGGAGAGAGACAGAGAGAGACAGAGAGAGAGAGAGAGAAGATTAATTTTTTGGCAGACATCAAATTCAGCTGCTACTTCTGATGCCAGGAGTCAAACGTTTTCTCTGGAAGTTTCGTTTTGCGCTGCGTTTCGAATTTGTTCATGCGACCAATCGTACCCACTGCCCTAAGTAAGTTGCTGTGACTTCTCGATTGCTTGAACGCGATCCTTCAGCATCAGAACCTTGCGGTGCTGCTTTGTTTCTGGATTCCTTGATGCCATCGTCGATTCGTCTGTAGCTGTATAACTGAGGTGAAAGAGCCGCTCAGTATTCGTTTCTACTCCGAGTAGTAACATCGATCAGAGAGCGCTTCCGATGCACTCTCCAAGACATTTCCTATCATGTTTATTCTTGACAGCGCTTGAAATATGGACAGGTGTAGTGCAGTCCACACCGACTCCACAGTCAAAATGAACTGCGTTAATATTTTCAGCTGTAGTATCGAAAGATTCCTTTCAGGACAATGGAAAATCAGCAAAGATTCAAGAAGGAGCTTCGAGCAACATTTGATTTCCTACATCGCAGTCGTTAGTTACGGGTCAAAAATCGTCATTGGGACAAGAAAAGGCGGTCGCTGGTCGCGTTCAGCAGGTAGTCGCTGGTCGCGTTCAGCAGGTAGTCGCTAGTCACATTGCATTTTGAATGTGAGACCGCCTGTGCCTGGTGAAGTGGTCTGTAGTACCATGCTGGTCGCTAGTCACGGTGGTCTTTAGTTACAGGTTTTTCTGTAGTACCAGGCTGGTCGCTAGTCACGGTGGTCTTTAGTTACAGGTTTTACTGTAGTACCAGGCTGGTCGCTAGTCACGGTGGTCTTTAGTTACAGGTTTGACTGTAGTACCAGGCTGGTCGCTAGTCACGGTGGTCTTTAGTTACAGGTTTTACTGTAGTATCAGGCTGGTCGCTAGTCACGGTGGTCTTTAGTTACAGGTTTTACTGTCTGTATCAATTTCAAAGTGCCATGTGAAGCATACGCTTTGTTGCAAAAACTTATTACACTGAGTAGTTATGACAACCTCGGTATCATGGTTTGATACCATTTTAGGGTTGTGATTGCTTAAGACCCATTATGCTCACCGGATCTTGAAGACCCATCATCATTAGTCATTAAAGAGGTTCTGCATAACGAATTTCGTTGCATTTTCGTCACTGTGAGCACGCAGCGAAAAAGTGGACGAATGTTCGTCGAAGTGGGCGCGAAACTCGAATGTTCAGCGAACAAATTTTTCGTTGCCCTTTTGCTTCACTCCGGATACCCTTTCTACGTACTGACTTGCTTTGATCTGAGTCGATTTTAGTTTCTATCTCCGTGGCACGTCGTTCAGTGTGGTAGCTTCAGCTTACGATGGAAGGTCTTGGACGGCGTATGGCGATGGAAGATGATGGTGTGGATCCGCTGCAGACTCCCGTGGTGCAAGCGCCAGTTCCAGTCACTCCCATCTCAAGTACATCAAGTGACACATCAGGTGATGGACGTACTCTATCCAGCACGGCGGAATGCCAGCGCCTCCAATACACTATGGAGATGGACCTCATCCTGCTTCGCCAGCTGCGCTCTCACCCGCATCCTTTCGTCCGTGGGTCGAATGCCATGGAAAAAGTTGCGCTGGAGCTTGCTGCGCAAGATGCATCCCGATTTAGCTTCGTCAACAAGAAAGGGGTGAGGGACAGGGCTATGAAGCTACTGGACCACCATTGCAAAGGCGACGCCTGGAAGAAGCCGCAGTAAGATTAATTTGTTAGTGCGTTTTGGTGCATTGTGGTTTGTGTCAAGAAATGGCTGCTAGTGATTCATAAGCAATAGTAAACATTTCATGTAGGAGCAATAGAAGACCGTTCACAGTCAGCTGAATTCAGCTGAGATGGCATAGAGACTGAAAAACTTAGAGGACGGCATGGCGTGGGAGGTTCTATGGTGAGACCCTCTTGTGAGGCAATTCCCTATGCATCTCCAACAGTCCATGTAATGACAGATGATGAACACATGCATCTGATTTGCGCTCAATTCCATTCGTTCTATATGCATTTCTGTTTTGCAGAACTGCATCAGCCGAGCAGTACACCGAGAAAGACCAGCTGTTGACAGAGCTGAAAGACCTCTACTCTGAGAGAGGATTGGCCCAAGAGAGGTCAGTACAAGCCGCAGCGACAGAAAGGTATCATGCAATTCAAATGCGGGATGATGCGTGCGAAACCTTTTCCAACAAAATAGCTGGCCCTGTTACAACCAAACCTGCAGCGGATGGCAAGAAGCGGAGGTCCGGCCAATTTTGGGATAGCCTTATTGATTACATGGAGAAGAAGGATGAGGCCAAGACCGAGCCGGAGAAAGAGCGTCTGGCATTCGAGAAAGAAAAATTAGACTTAGAGAAGCAGCGTTTGGAGGTTGATGCAGAGACAAGGAAGGAGGAGCTGCAGGAGTCACAACGGGAGAGGGAGGCAAGGACAAGAAAGGATGACAAAAACCGGGAGGAAATGCAAGATCGAGAGAAGACGGACAGAGAAGATGCACGCCAAGAGAGGAAGATGATGATGGATTTGATGAAAACAATGATGGAAACAGTGAAGAAGTAAAAGTCAAGGACGAACTGTCGCTCACAGAATTTGCATTATTTTCACACAGCAGTCTTTATTCCACATAGAACTAAAGTACAGAACTGCATGCCTCATTTGTTCCTCTCTGCTTAGCCCATCTCCCTATGTGAAGTATGGCAAGATATCCGTAACTCAAGACAGCAGCCGTGCTTATCCATCCTGCCTCTTGTGCTACTGCAGTAATTATAATAATGGCTATACATGCATGCATGCTCTCGACAGGTACATTCAGGCAGCAGCTTTACCAGATAGTGTTCACTGGTACATTCAGAAGTTCCATAATGTATGAACATAGCAGCACACTTACACATTGTGTGTGTGTGTGTGTGTGTGTGTGTGTTTTGTTCGGATAAACTACAACTACTACAGTGTAATCATACAGTGAATGATTTATATATAGCTCATGCTGGGACGAAAAGGACGAAACAGTTCTGTCCGCTGGTTGAGTAGCTCATCATTGCAAATACTCGTTCAAACTGGGAGGGCTGACTCCGAAGAACTTGCTGGTTTTGTTCCCATAGCGTGCAATTGTATGCAGATTTGTGAAAAGTGTAGCGACAAAGTAGTAGAGAGCCACTGGCTGAAGCAACGTCTTCTGCTGTTTTTTCATGTCGATATAGGCCCAGAGTGTAGAAATTTCTCCAAAGGCCCACTCCACTGCTATTCTCACGTTGCTGAACCGCGTGTTGAAATCACACTGTGCGGCTGTCAGTGCTGCACCCTGGAAAGCCTTCTGCAGATACGGCGACAATGGGTATGGCGTGTCTCCATACAGTGCATACGGCACTCCATGTGGGTCGTCCATATGTGCAGCCAACTGCTGCAGGAGTCCACTCTCTGCCAAGACACCAGCATCATGCCTCCTCCCCTCCACGGGACCAAAGAGATGTGCGATGATGCTGTTGGGTGTGACCACTGATTGGTACTTCAGGGCATGCACTCGTTTGTGCCCGTTGTAAAATTGCTGCTGGTCTCTGACAGGACGGCATATTGGCCTCACGGTCCCATCAATAAAACCCCACACATGGAGACCGGGGCTGACTTTCTCCGTGATTTTTGTGGAGTACGTGGCAACTCTCTCTGCGCTGAAGAATCCTTGTGTGAATGGATCTTTGAGCAGGTGGCCCCATCTCCGCCACATCCACATCAGCATTGTATTGAAAATCAGCGATAGCACAGGCTTTGAACGCCGAAATCCATCACAGAGGTCAGATAACCGGCTGGGATAACACAGCCGTCGGAGAAGAACCAGCAAACCCTCCATGCCACTCCACTTGGTCCAGCAAACTGGAGATCTATAGTTCTGCGGCACCTGCAGCGCAAAGTATAGGTCTTTCAGCTGCTGCCCAGTAAAGCGGAAGTGCCTGATGCACGTCTCATCATCCAGACTTGCGATATCCAGACGCATGGGCACAATCTGATGACGGATACGCATACCTCGAGCAGCTGCATAATGAATTCCAGTGACCAGAAACAACAATTCATCCTGCTCGAGGTCTCCGTCATCGAATTCCAGTAGCAGGAAACAGCACAACAACTCCTCGTAATCATCTTCCATCTCCACCAACATCTCCTACACCTACGCGTGCACGGCCACGCCACGGACACCACTTCACAACTCAAACAAGTAAAGTAAAGTGCTTTCGCTCCGGAAACACAAGTCAGAAAATCAGTACAAAAGCAGCATTAGAAAAGCAGCGAAAATTGCGCAGCAAAGTTTCGTCCTGCAGAACCTACCGGCGTTTGAATTTTCGCGCCTCAAATTTCGTCACATTTTCCGTCATCAGCAGAGACGAAATTCGTTATGCAGAACCTCTTTATTGTTGATGGTTGATTGAACTGTGCTTTTGACTTGAATCGCATGAAGGTGCATTTAGGGATTCAAGCTGAGAAGTAGGATATCCCCAAAATGAGATACATGCCCTTACATCCACAGTGCAATGTTTATGCCTTTTGCATGTTGATCCACGATATTACAACTCTTGCCATGCCCCCTCACTGTTACTGTTTTGGCAAGGCTGAAATAGGGTACTTCGAAGTAGCTGCATGATATCTTATCTCTGGCGATGGAGCACAGAGTGTTATAGATTTTCGCTCCCTAAACATTTGCACACAGTAACATGTCACTCAAAGGCAACAGTACCACTCCTGCATGTGGCTGCTTGATATCCCTATGGGGAACTCCTTTTATGCTCACCAGATGCAGATGCAGATCCATCTTCATCGGTAGCTGGTGAAGTTTGTTGCGACTGTCCCGGACTTTGATATATTTGGCTTTTTCTTTGGTCTGGCACTGGTGGTGTTGGGGTGGTCATACCTGACAGACCTGGATTGCACAAGACATAACCATGACAATATCTCTGTACTCCCCAAGGTTCTTGGATTCTCAAGGTTATGAGGGCCTCTTTTACGAGAAAACAAAGTACAATTCAATGTGCCATAAGAAAAGATTAGGGTTCTCAAGATGCCCCCCCCCCCCAATTTCTCATTCCAATCAATATTCATCAATTACTCAGTGGTTCCAATAGTGTTTAAAATATCGAATGGAGGCCCGTGATTCAAGAGTACTGACGGTAGAAAAATTCAATGACCAAATTTGATTTACAACAGTACAACGGATGGGCTTCTCCTATAACATTGGGGAAGCCCCTAGCTTGATCTTACCAGGAATTTTTGATCCTTGTGCATTGGCTACCGCCGGAATTCTTGGGAACTGTCCTGGATTTTGCGATGGTTGACTATTTTTTTGGATTGGAACTTGTTGCGCTGGTGTGGTTTTGCCTGCCACCTCTGAATCTGCACGGACATTAACATAATAAATCACCTGCATTACACACGGTCACTGCACATGGTGTCTAGATTATCAAGGGGATTGCTTAAAATGGTCTCAAGCACTGAGTGTGCGACGGTACATGATGAAGGGAGGGATACCTGCCCCAAGTGAAGGTGCGTAAAGGAATTTACAGTAAAGAAAAAAGGACCAAGAAACTGCAAGTTAGGGTATAATGTCCAATACCGCCTGTACTGTCAGTAGCGTGGGTCAATGTCGTGCAGTGTTATCACATGAGCTGATTGTTTAGTATCTGGTGGTTTTAGTGCACATTATAGCCTGACTTGCAGTTACTTGGGCATTTTTTCTTTACTGTAAAATTTTCCTTGGCTTTCTATCCAAGTCTATTACATTAAAAGTAATGGAAACTATTGTCAATCGCCAATTGATGAACCATCTTGAGCGCCAGCAGCTCCTCGTTCCCCACCATTTTGAGATCTGTAGGGGTCTCGGTACGGCAGACGCACTGCAGGCGCTTTTTAACTTAACGCCTGGGTGGACATTGTTTGCCAAGGCGGCACGGCACGAATTCTCTCAGCTTATATACCTGGGGCCTTTTGGGAGCGGTTTTTCCACCCTTGCTGCTACCCACAGGCACAAGGGGTACATGGATGCAGCTAATGTGGTCGTTCTCGGCACTTTTGCCAGTGGTTGTGAGATTTATTCACACACCCCCACCGTTAGGCGCTGCAATCTGCCGCTAGGATTTACCGGGTGTAAGCGGCCGTCGTGAGTTCCCTTCGGGAACGGACACGATAATTTACTTTTTACTTTTTGACCGGGTCTCCCACGTGGGCCTCCTCTGCAAGGTCAGGGAGCTCGGCATTACTGGCACTCTCCATAGCTGGCTATCGTATTATTTTGACGGCTGTTCAGTGCTCAGTCGGCGGGCCGATTTCTTCTCTCTACCAAATATCTGCAGGGATGCCCCAGGGCAGTATCGTGGGCACTACGCTGTTTAATATACGTGAATGACGCTATCGATGTTCTTGTTGGCAATGCTAAGCGTGGGGCCTACGTGGACGATACGACAATATACATTTTAGTATCCTCAGCACAGTGCCCTCAGGTCGCTGCACAGGCCTTGCAGATATCTACAAACCGCCTTCACTAGTGGGGTTGCCGGTGGAAAGTGTCGTTCGGGCCCACCAAGTCACATGCTATGACTGCTATCCTCCGACGCACTGACCTAGACCTACCCCCAATCCTGTTTGGTAGTACACCTGTGTAATGTTCTGGGACATTATTATTATTACAGTAATGGTCAAACCAAAGGACTAACAAAGACAAAACTAAAGACCAAGAACCAGGAACATAAAGCACAGAGAAAGGGAACAAAACAGATACACATATAAATATCGTACAAGATACTATAATAGTACAATACTATAATATAGTATTAACCAGGAGGCCTGCAACATCACACTCCTCCTTTTCTTGAAAGTCTACAACTACAGTCCATAGAAATGCTGACCATAGCAAACTTCAAAGTAGCATTTCAACAACCTAAACGAGAGAGCTTGGAAGCTCAGGGCCCTACGCTATGCTTTTTTGCCTTGATGACCTAGACAAAAAAAAGCATAGGGATGTTATAAATTCTTATAAGTTTCTACTTTTTGTTTTTAGACATAACCTGGGATTCGAACCCGCACTATCGCCCTGCATGCATCCCCCGATACACTTCACATACATGATAATTCTTCCAAGTTGCTTGACGTTATGATCTTGTATTTGAAAGCCCTATTTGAATATGCATTGTGGCCAGCCGTCTTTGAATGTACGGTACGGTATGGGACAGGTACGGGGCAGGTACGGTCGAGGGTAATACGACACCGTCTACCGCCTTGATGACGGCAAAAAAGAGAAGGGATGTTATAAATTTTTCAATTCTCCTAATTTTTAAGGCATTACCTGGGATTAGAACCCGCACAATCGCCCCACGTGCATTCCCCCATACACTTCGCATTCATACTTATTCTTCCAAGTTCCTTCACGTTTATCTTGCGTTTGAAAGCCCTATTGAATATTGCGGCCAGCTGTATGTGGCCAACTGTGTTTGATGGTACGGTACGGTACGGGACAGATACGGGATAACGCCAGGCGTCACACAAACACACAAACACACAAACAAACAAACACCAAATTAAAGCTGTGAGGACCGTGGCTAGCGCCAGACGTTACTGAAGTACCGTCTTCTGCATAGCTACGGGAATAAACCAAAATAGGCTGTCCAAAACGCGACGAATAACCAAAAGCGTTCTATCAATCCATGTCATAAAATATGTAAGTATACAGTATAACGCAAGCTCATCCATTGTAAGCCGAACGACCAGTCGAACACAACTGTCACACAGCCTAGTCAGGTTCCTTAGCATTTCACGCTTAACCTGTCTGACCTGCGGGGCTCCGCACGATGCTGGGGTGGCTCTTGCACTTCGGGGCTAGGTTCAGCTGGATGCTGCTGCCAGAATGGTTTCGTGAACTGTACGTTCCTCCGCACAAGCTTCCCATCTGGTGCCTGGACCACTACTTGGTCCCCATTCCGACTAACCACCACATGAGGTTGGTGATGGAATAGTGTGTCGACCTTCGACCGTGTCTCCGAACGCTTTAGCAGTACTGAGTCACCTATCTGGTGGCATGGTTGGCGTCATCTGCAGAGTCACGCATACTCTGCTTACGCTCACTGTCACGATCTCTGATGGCCTCGTTTGTCACTGGTTCACCGAGGGCTGGTAACTTGCAGTGCACTTTGCGCCCAAACAATAACTCAGCTAGAGCAACTCCGGTGGTGCTATGTGGCGTTGAGCGGTATGCCATCAAGAATCGTTGAACCCCCCCCCCCCCTTCCACGTCTTTCCTTCCGCATATGCACACGGATCACTTTCATCAGGGATCGATTTTGTCGCTCAACTTCACCGTTAGCTCTCGGCCACAGTGGTGTAGTACGAAGCTGTTGAACACCACACTCATGTAGAAACTTCGCAAGCCCTTCCGAGTTGAAAGGTGGGCCATTATCCGTACGCAAACTCGTCGGGATACCGTGGCGGCTGAACTGGGCTTCAATCATCGGAATCACAGCTTCAGCTGAGGTTGACTTGACCACATCTACTTCGAAATATCGACTGTAGTAATCCACAAGCACCACAATGTGCTCGCCAGACGGTAGTGGACCCAGCAAGTCAACAGCCAAATGCTGCCATGGCGCATCTGGAAGAGGAGTGGACTTGACTGGCGGTGCATTGGCTGGCACTGCAACCACTTGGCAGGCATAACATGACTTGCAGAGCTTCTCGGCCTCGCTATCAATGCCTGGCCACCAAACCTTGGACCGTAGACGCTCTTTCGTCTTCACGATGCCCTGGTGGCCCTCATGTGCCAACTGCACGGTCTGGTGTCGCAACTCTGTATGGATAACAATGCGTTGACCTCTGAGCACCACCTTGCCAACAACAGTCAATTCTCCTCGGACCTGACGGTATGCTGCTGGCAGACCATCCCAAGATCCGTCGTGAAGGCACTTGCGAACAGCAGATAGCTCTTCATCTTCAGCTGAGCTACGTTCAATCGTTCTGATACCGATAGCGATGGGTGCTGCTGTCTGAGTGATAAGTCTAACCGACTCTTCATCACTGCTGATTCCTGGATCCGCCGCTGCAACGGGCAGGCGAGATAAAGCGTCAGCGATGTTCGTCTTTCCAGGAATGTGCTTGACTCGATAACTGTACGGCTGTAGGCGCAGGACCCATCTCTCAATCCTGGCACTTGGCGTGGATCTTGCCCAATAAATCACTTCCAGCGGCTTATGGTCGATGCAGAGTGTAAACTCCCTGCCTAGCAGATAGGTGTGAAATCGTTCACACGCCCAGACAATACCAAGAGCCCCTCGCTCGGTCTGCGAGTACTTCCGCTCTACCGCTGACAGTGATCTGCTCGCATACGCAGCTGGCCGCCAAACACCGTCCTGCTTCTGGACAAGCACAGCTCCGAGCCCAACTGGACTGGCATCCGTCACTAACTCGATCGGCGCTTCAGCATCATAGTATGCCAGTGTTGAGCTGGACACCAGTAGTCGCTTCAGGTGGTCGAACGCTTGCTGTTGCTCTGTAGTCCACTTGAACTGAGCTCCCTTGACCGTGAGGCTCAGCAACTGTAGCAAATCAGGGATGAATTTTGCACTGAAACCGGCTGTACCGAGGAAGCTTCTTACTTCCGACGCATTGCTCGGTCTGGATGCTTCCGCCGAGGATCGTATCTTTTCCGGAGTTGGCTGTATGCCCTTGTCAGATATCTGCAAGCCGAAGAACTCAATGGAGCTCTCAGCAAACTCACACTTTGATGGGTTGACTGTGAGGTTGACCTGCTGCAAGCGATTCATCAATGCATGAACCCTCACATCATGCTGGTTCAGTGAGTCCGCATGTAGCAAGATATCATCAGCTCCGTTTCTGCACCCGGCCAAATCCTTGATCACATCGCTGATGATCTTCTGGTAAAGCTCTGGTGCTGAACTTATACCAAATGGCAGTCAACGAAACCGGTACAACTTCCCATTTGCAGCAAAAGTTGTCAGGTAGCGTGACTCTTCTTCCAACTCTACTTGGTGAAATCCCCACTTCAGGTCAATCACCGTGCTGCCATTCACTTCATGCAGCAGCTCCTCTGTTGTTGGCATTGGATGTCGTTCTCGGACGATGGCTTCATTGACCCGGCGTAAATCCAAGCACAAACAGATGTCGCCATGCTTCTTTGGTGCTATCACAATTGGGCTCACCCACGGCGTCGGGCCCACAGCTTCTTCAATAATTCCTGATTGCTGTAACTCCTGAAGTTTTTGATCCACCTTGGTTTCATACGCATGTGGTATCCTACGCTGGCGTTGGGCCACAGGTGGAACTTCAGAGTCTACATGAAGACGTGCTTGGTAGCCAATTAACTTGCCCACACCACTGAACACACCAGGATACTCATTCTTGATTTCATCGTTGATACTGGGGCTAGCTGTGGCGCTACCAACTTGATTCACGTCAGGTAGCACCAAGGCCTTCAACTTGAATGCAGTACTACGTCCCAGCAAGAACTCTCCATCTCCTCTGACCACGATCACTTTGTCCTCAGTGCGCTCTGAGCCGCATTGGAAAATTGCAGTAAACTTGCCGACGACATTCAGCTGGTGTGCTCCATACGCGAAAAGCTTGCTGGTGCACTTCGTCAAAGTGACACCGCGGCCTTGCAATTGCAGCTGGCCCAAAGTTGATTCTCCCAACAAGTTGCATGACGCTCCAGAATCGACTAGCACTCGCGTCGACACACCATTGAGGCTGACATCGATAGAGGCCTGTGTCAAATTACTTCCTCGCACTCCAAACACAAAATCGTCTACATCTTGAATTTGAAGTGACCGTTTATGCCACACTTTCTACACCTTTGGCCACGTGCAGGACAGTTCCGGTCGCGGGCGAAGTGGCCAACTTTTCCACAGTTGTGACACTCTTGCCGTGCACAGCATTCACACTTCCTGGTGCAGCTTCACCCATACCCGTACCGTACGAACTGGGCCCTCCGTTGTTTCATACTCGCGCCTTTTTTCAAGGCCACAGCCAAAGTGAGGTCGTCGACTTCTAACAATTTCTTTCTGAGGCGATTGTCCGATATCCCTATGAGCAGCTGGTAGCATACATGATCCTCCATGTCAGTGCCATAGTCACAGTATTTGCCTTGCCCAAGCAAACGGGTCGGAAACTGAGATACTGTAGAGATGTTCTGCAAAACGAAAATGTGTACGAACTTTCGCTCCACGTCACGAAGTGAGAAACTTCGCACGAACTTTCGCAACTTTGGACGCGAAACTTGCAGGGAACCCGAAATGAACTTTCGTAGGAAGTTTCGTGAGATTTAGAGAGGTTCCGGGGTACGATTTTCCGTGCCAAAATCCGTGTGGGCGCTACGGATTTTTTCCAGGCGTGCTCCATACGATTTTTCGGCACGGAGAATCCGTGTGGACTGGCTTTCACACGAACCATGTTTCGTATGGAGATTTTGCGTCATCGGGTTCAGAAACATTTTTCGCGTACAAATTTGGTACAAGAAACATCGATTTTCCGCGGGAAGTTTTGATTTCGGTACAATTTTTCAAAACGCAAAGGCATAGCGCGGGAAGGTGACGTGTTTGCGATCGTAACCTAGGCAATGACGGCAAACACATAAGTTCCGTACTCCGGAACATTTCACTGCTCGAAAACGAGGTATAAAAAATCCGTAGCGCCTCTACGGATTTTGGCACGAAAAATCGTACTCCGGAACCTCCCTATTGGGTCATGTCGACATGTCGTACGTTCACTTGGCGCGTGCAAACTACGAAAATATCCAGAACACAAAGTTCGTGCGAAAATTCGTACACATTTTCGCAAGGCCGGTCGCGAAACTTCGTTCGAATTTTCGTTGTGCAGAACCTCTCTTGTTTCACCACTCCATTGTGACATCTGACGAAGCTTATAACGTTCGAACTTCTTGTTGGCCACGAACTCAAAAGCCTTGTCCAAAGCACTCACAGCTCGCTCGAATAAATTGTCGGTGTCCTCATCTTCTGTTAGCGTTTCGAATTTCTCCTGTACTGGCATACCAGTCAAGTACAGCAACAGACTCCTCTGCCTCTTTGCGGATGTTATGTTCTTGCCATCCATATAGTACTGAACTGATCTTTTCCACCTGCGCCATCTTGCAGAAACTTCATGGGCAGGACCCTCTTGATCGAACGGCTCCAAAGCCGGGCCTACTCCTGTGAGCGCCATTGCCACTGAGGCCTACTTAGGTCATCTATATGACTATAACTATTAAATCTAGTTCATCTTCGTCGCCAATGTAATGTTCTGGGACATTATTATTATTACAGTACTGGTCAAACCAAAGGACTAACAAAGACAAAACTAAAGACCAAGAACCAGGAACATAAAGCACAGAGAAAGGGAACAAAACAGATACACATATAAATATAGTACAAGATACTATAATAGTACAATACTATAATATAGTATTAACCAGGAGGCCTGCAACTTCACACCCTGTACCGGAGGAAGTAAAGAATATCTCATGAGTACGAGGGTGATACCGGCGAATATCAATCCCGACTGCGAAGCAGAAGGGATTGATATGAGGGTACGGTATCACCCGAGCTACGAGGGTGATATTCTACTTATCACATATGACCCTACGAACCTAACACGTACGACCGTCATATCCTGCTTTTCACATGCTACATGTGTACATCGAGTCCATAAACATAAACATGATACTACAATTGTAGTACTACCCACTACTGTACATGTACTGTAGTAGATTTGACCCTGTGAACTGAATAGGACATCACATTGTGTGGAGACCCTCTCCGATGCCACACCCATTCACCCCCGTCTGACACATCATTCGCGGGACAGAAATATTCAAAGCTTCGAATTGTTTTAGTTGAAGTCTAAGCAGAAGTGAAAGGACATCAATGTAAAAGAGTCCCAGGAAATAGAGATAGAAGAGGAGATGATGAAAATGAAGCAATATACTGCACTGTATCTGAGAATTAGCGCTGCTCACAGGCTTTGACATCATGAACGTGGATGTGAACAGCGCCTGCGAAGTTTCCGGAGAAGATGAACTTTGCGCTGTTCTCCGAACTGACACACGATGAGGCTGGCGAAGCTGGTGGTACTTGTGGCCTTTCCAAGGCTTCCGGAGTTGACTCCTGCAGAGCTTTATCAACCTCCGCATTGAGCAGGCGAGCTGTAGCAATCTTATCTTGCTCGCTAGGCTGCAAGTAAGCTGTTAGGCACTTGTATTTCTGAACCCCTGAGACACTGTGATATGTGATGACGAACCAGACAAGGTAGGTGAGATGCTCGGGGTTGTTTTTCCAGTCTTAGTCCGGTATACCCTTTCCTTGGTTATGTACATACAATTATCCCTTCACTGTGCATAGTTCGAAGCTCCCCCCCCCCACACACACAATGGTTGCCTCTTTGCTTTGTCATACCACAACCATTCAACGCGGTGAACCCCTCGATAGGCGATTTGCCTTTGAGTCATCCTAATAACTTGAGTTATTATTACCATAATGTTACGCTTGAGGTCTTGTAGCTGGCGGTGAATAGCACTGCGGAATTGCAGCAAACTGTTCTTGGAGTACGAAAGCTTGTTGATCTGCCTAAATTCCACATACGCATGCTTTAGGATTGAGGCAAGGTTGGTAGCTGAGATGGTTTTCAGATCACATTTTTTCTTATAGACTGTACACCAAACATCCGAGACACGTTGGTGGCTCGCTTCGTGTTGGTTGAAACACGGCTTTCTCGGATTCTGTCGATCTCATCCTCCGACACTTGCACAAATCGTTGAGACGTTTCTTCTACAATACTTGGCTCGGATGTTACACGTTTTTCCGTGGTGGTCTTCTCCAGTACTTCGCCATTCGACAAAGTTGCAGTTGTGGTTGATGATCAAGAAAAATCAGACACTTCGGCTAGTTCGCTGGGTGATAAAAAATTGAAATAATTTGCAGCAGCCTCTAAAAGCTCTTGATCTTCCAAGTCACCTTCACAAACGCCCAAATCAAAGCTAGCCATTTTTCTCACGAGGACACGATAAGGACAAGCTTTAGAAGAAGAATGGTAAGTTTCTGTTTGTGCTTACCCTCGGCCTTGTCATTCTTCATGGTAGGTCAACTTGGATGCGTACTATAGATGGAATTGTATATGTAAGGAATTCATTGTTGTCACTAGCCCCTCCACATAGACCCCCTCCCACAATCCCAAGCCAGCTGGCCGAAGGAGGGCTGGGGGGGGGGGGGGGCTGGCGACGGCAGTGAAATCCTAAATATGCAGTTTCAGCTACAGTACGCATTCGAGTATGTGAGTACCAATGGATACTGTACTAGGTACGCAGCCGGGTGTGATATGGAGCAGCAGGGGTGATATCGGCCTATATCACCCGCCTAGGAAGGGCAGTGATTGGCCCATTCCTAGGAAACGGTCACCTGATATGTGATAAACCAGCATATCAAAGCATGGAGTTCGATTTGACTCGAAATTGTCATTCACTAGTAACATCAGGGCCGTGACCATCCGCGCCCAGCAGCTCCTCGGCGTTCTCAGACGGGCTGCATTGACATTGCATTGCCCATGGTACCTCAAGGTGATCTGTTAAGATGTTGTCAATCCCATCACTATTTATAAGTAACTACCTTACTAAGGAAACGGTCTGGCAGCAGAACAATAGGGCATGAATTTACGTGATTTAAGAGTGGTTATTCTTGATAATTATATATATTATATATAAAATTCCATTGCCGTTAGCAGCACGGATGTGATCCTGCTACGTATAATATTATATCATTTGAGAAGCCCCGTGTTTAGACTTACCTGAAATGTGAGATGCACTTGGATTGGTCACTGCAGGCATTCCTTGAACTTTTCTTTGGACTGTTACTGGGTTTGCTGGTAAGGTTGTGCCTGACACATCCGCATCTGCGATAAAAATGACAAATTCCCTACATTACACATGATCTGTACGTTCTCAGGGGATTCTGCGGGCCGCAACCATTAGACCATAATGAAAATATTTATTCCCATACCTATGCAAAAGACGTTACTTCAGTAACGTCTGCCGCTAATGGGCCATTCACACTACGCCCAAAACTTGACGTACGTGACGTTTACGTCCGGATAGCCATGATAACATGGAACGTGGCGGGAAAATCGTACTCTTGATACGAAAACGTAGACGACCTATCCAGACCCCTGTACCGAGTTTTGTTCTATCATTCCCAGCAGTTTCTGTCCGAAAGAAGCTGTACACACAGCTATATGAGCAGCGTGTGCGTGCCTGTGTGAATGCACCTGCATGGAAACGACGTCTGCCAGTACGTCGTATTCCAAAACGTGACGCGTAGTGTAACGTAGCATGAATAGCCTACAGCGAGGGTCCACACAACTTTAATTCCGTGTTTGTTTGTTTGTTTGTGCTATCGGTATGCCTGGCGCTATCCCGTACCTGTCCTGTACCCTACCATCATAGAAAGCTTCAGCATCCCGTACCTGTTCTGTACCGTATCATCAAAGACAGCAGCTGGCCTGAATATTCAAATAGGGCTTTCAAATGCAAGATCATAACGTGAAGCAATTTAGAAGAATGAGTATGCATGCGAAGTGTATCGGGGGAATGCATGCAGGGCGATAGTGCGGGTTCGAATCCTAGGTTATCCTTCACTACAGTCCATTCATCGGAAATTGGCCCGCTGTTTTTTTTTAATTTCGGATTTGGGCCGAATTGAGGATCAAAAACCCACTTTAAATCACACAAATCTGGGTTTGAGATCTGCTTCTCCATACATTTTCCATGGCATACCTGTCCTAATTTTGTAAAACCTGGCTGAATTTCTATTTCCCTGTTCTCGGACTTTTCTGGCCTCAAATGTGGCAAGGAGTAATTGCAGGGGTCACACAATGCAGGATGTACTGTTGTTTTCACGGTATCTACAACTATGTGAGAGACACACCAAAAAGTTAGGGTGCCAGTTTCCAATAAATGGACTGTAGTCACCGTGACAATCCGCGCCCAGCAGCGCCAGGCTTTCTCCGACGGGCGGCTCACATTCTAACGCCAGCTGGCCGAACGACTGTCTACAAGACATTCTTGAGGCCCCTGATGGAGTATGCCCAGCTTGTGTGGATGGGCGTGCCAGCCAGCCACATCCAACGTCTGGATAATGTTCAACGCCGCGTAATCCGGATTATTGGCCCTGGTGCAATTCTCTCCAGTCTGGCTGTCTGCCGGACTGTTGCTGCACTCTCGTCCATGTACAAATTGCATTTCATCACTGGTACTCCTCAGCTACTTGCTGTATTGCCACGCATCACGTTTTTCCAGCCAACCCTTCCATCCTTCTTTTTTTCTGTTTCAGGTTTTCTTCTGGGCACAGTTTTACGTCGTGTCCGGAACCACCAGTGACGACGACTGCCAAGAGACGGGAGAGACGAATGATGAAGGACGAGGACGACGGACGAACTTCTTCAAGACGAACAAAACTGTGACGATAGGACGACTGGAGATGACATCGGAAACTGGGAGCGAAGGCCACGCAGGACGAATCCAGAAGTTGAGATTTACAAATTTCCATTACCGCTGCCACCAATGTTGTAACTCTCTTTTCTCTACCTGCTCCCAGTCCCGTGCCATCTCCACACTTGTACAAATGGACGGCGATAACTACATTTAGAAGACTATATTTGTGACAAGACGACGGAACCACAACTATACATGACGAACTCAAGACGAAGACATCAGTGAGGTTCTGCCACACGGTAAAACGTGCCAAATTACGTATGGAAACTTCGCCGCGGTACGGGATCAAGTTTCATACGGATTTTTTCATACCGTTTTCCGTGTGAAGCGCGCTTCACACGGACTGGACTCCGTGTGAAAACTGAGCGTACAGAGTACATGTGGTGGGGTGTTCGTGCATGCTACGAGCATGCTACGTACAGCAGAACCGGTGCAACGTACGAAAAATCCGTGTCAAACTTCGCTGCAGTTGACACGGAGTTTGGTACGTAGGTCCGTGTAGTAGAACCTCTCTATCATAAACTCAAGACGAAGACTGCTTTTCATACCACAGCAACACGCGCATGCACCAACATGACGTACACACGACGTACACAAAATAACGTACTACAACAGTTATACCAGGCAGATCTATTTTGCACACAAAATAAAATTAATTGAAAACAACATTGCATTGCCCATTGTACGTCAAGGTGATCTGTTAAGATGTTGTCAATCCCATCACTATTTATAAGTAAGTATACCTTACTATAGGAAACGGTCTGGCAGCATAACAATACCGCATGAATTTACGTGATTCAAGAGTGGTAACTCTTGATAATTATATAAATTGTCAAAATTCCATTGCCGTAAGCAGAACGGATGTGATCCTGGTACATATATACATCATTGGAGAAACCCCTTGTTTAGACTTACCTGAAATGTGAGATGCACTTGGATTGGTCACTGCAGGCATTCCTTGAACTTTTCTTTGGACTGTTACTGGGTTTGCTGGTAAGGTTGTGCCTGACACATCCGCATCTGCGATAAAAATGACAAATTCCCTACATTACACATGATCTGTACGTTCTCAGGGGATTCTGCGGGCCGCAACCATTAGACCATAATGAAAATATTTATTCCCGTAGCTATGCAGAAGACGTTACTTCAGTAACGTCTGGCGCTAGCCAGGGTCCACACAGCTTTAATTTGGTATTTGTTTGTTTGTGTGTTTGTTTGTGTCACGCCTGGCGCTATCCGTATCTGACGGCAAAAAAACATAGGATGTTATATTAGGATGTTATAAATTTTTCAATTCTCCTATTTTTTCAGGCATATCCTGGGATTCGAACCCGCACTATTGCCCTACATGCATTCCCCCATACACTTCGCATTCATACCCATTCTTCCAAGTTGCTTCACGTTATTATCTTGCGTTTGAAAGCCCTATTTGAACATTGCGGGCAGCTGTATGTGGCCAGCTGTGTTTGATGGTACGGTACGGTACGGGAGACGGTGTCGTATTACCCTCAATCGTACCTGCCCCGTACCTGTCCCCTACCGTACCGTGCCATCAAAGACGGCTGGCCACAATGCATATTCAAATAGGGCTTTCAAATGCAAGATCACAATGTGAAACAACTTGGAATAATTAGTATGTATGCGAAGTGTACCGGTGGATGCATGCAGGGCGCGCGATAGTGCGGGTTCGAATCCCAGGTTATGTCTAAAAAAAAGGATTTTTTTAAAGAATTTAAAACATCCCTATGCTTTTTTGTCTAGGTCATCAAGGCAAAAAAGCATAGCGTAGGGCCCTGAGCTTCTAAGCTCTCTCGTTCCCATACCTATGCAAAAGACGTTACTTCAGTAACGTCTGGCGCTAACGAGGGTCCACACAGCTTTAATTCCGTGTTTGTTTGTTTGTTTGTGTTATCGGTATGCCTGGCGCTATCCCGTACCTATCCTGTACCCTACCATCATAGAAAGCTTCAGCATATGTCCGACGCTATCCCGTACCTGTCCCGTACCGTATCATCAAAGACAGCAGCTGGCCTGAATATTCAAATAGGGCTTTCAAATGCAAGATCATAACGTGAAGCAATTTAGAAGAATGAGTATGTATGCGAAGTGTATCGGTGGAATGCATGCGAGGCGATAGTGCGGGTTCGAATCCTAGGTTATGTCTTAAAAAAAGGAGAAATGGAAAATTTATAACATCCCTATGCTTTTTGTGCCTAGGACATCAATGTGGTAGACTGTATCGTCTTACCCTCAAATGCAAAGAGAAAGTTCACTCTCGATAGACAAAAAAGCATAGCGTAGGACCCTGAGCTACCAAGCTCTCTTGTTTTTGTTTTGTTTTTCTGTAAGAAACAGTTTTTGGGACCTTACTTGATCTCTTGAATGCGGTACAGGGCACCCAAGTAGTCTAAAATACCGCAAACACCGCTTTCAAATATATGTGAGCCTGGATCAGCAAAAACCATCACATGTGCAACATTTTCAAGACATACCGTAAAGTCTTGTATAAAAGCCGCGGCTTTTTTGACTTTCTTGGTGAAATTTTGCAGGCTTCTATATGAAACAGGCTTCTATACAAGACAGGTATGTTCTATGTACATGTAAATGTATGTCAACACTAAAACCAGGCTTATGTGTGATTTGATGGGCCCAAAATTGCGGCTTCTATTTGAGAGCGGCTTCTATTCAAGTGCGGCTTTTATACAAGACTTCACGGTAGTTTTGCTCCAACTCCATCCACAACTACTGATATCCAGTCTCAAGAAACCCTTGCTGTCGTTACTTTGACGGCTGTTCACTCCAGTGCTCAGTCGGCAGGCAGATTTCTGCTCTCTACCCAATCTCTGCAGGGGTGCCCCAGGGCAGTATCTTGGACATTTTGCTGTTTTTAATATACGTGAATGACCCTGCCGATGTTCTTGCTGGCAATGCTAAGCTTGGGGCTTACGCGGACGATACGACAATATACATTTTAGTATCCTCAGCACAGTGCCCTCGGGTCGCTGCACAGGCCTTGCAGATATCTACAAACCGCCTACACTAGTGGGGTTGCCGGTGGAAAGTGTCGTTCGAGCCCACCTAGTCACATGCTATGACTGCTATCCTCCGACGCACTGAGCTAGACCTACCCCAATCCTGTTTGGTAGTACCCCTGTACCGGAGGAAACCAGCAAATCCATGCATGGAGTTCGATTTGACTTAAAATTGTCCTTCACTACAGTCCATTCATCGGAAATTGGCCCGCTGGCTTTTGAAAGTCGGATTTCGGCCGAATTGAGGATCAAAAACCCACTTTAACCCTAGAACTACCAAAATTGTAACTACCGTAGAAGTACCGGAGGCATCATATGTCTCCACTGGACTTCAACATACCTGCTTGGAATTATTATCGGCAATATGTGTAGAAACAGAAGTCCTTGGGGTAAAAGGTACCTTATAAAAGGAAGAATGACAGGTGCACTATCTTGGAGACCAGCAGCTTGTATTGCGCGCAGCGAAAGGGCGACCTCACGTCGGTTTACGGAAAAATAAAAGAGCATTTGCCTGCCATGCTCCATCCTGCAAACTCTACATATCAGTCCATTACACCGGAAATGGCTGCTGCTGGGCCAACAGCTGGATTTTTCTCAGCCAGGTTGGTTATTCTTTGACTGCTGTGATAAATAAATTTACGAGCGAAAGGAGAAAGTGGTGTCGCGACTCCTAGCAAACAAATAACTTCCGTTCGACGTCGTGTCCGGGGACAATCTTCATGATCAAACCTTAAGTAGCAGAGTAGTTCGTGGCAACTATTTTTAGGGATAATACTTGATTATATGGCGTCCATTCCTATCCAGCTGAAGGGCCATCGTCAGACTATTGCGGGTACAGAGGATGCCTCTTGCGTAAATTTGCGAAACCAATGCCATGATATTGCCTTCACTCAAAGTTGAGTACTCTCCATTTTTTTGTTTTCCCTTCTACCTTGTGCCCTTGATCATGACATGGATCATATTCTGGTCAATAAATGCAAATAATGCAGCTGCCCCATCTTCAAAATTGTGAATATCTCGGAAAAGCCCGCATACTTCGGAAGCAACAACTGGTTGCGCGCGTTCGCGCTTCCTTGGTGCAACACATTTTCCAATATTCAACTTTGCCAGAGAACCCAGCTTCATGAAGGAAATCCTGCCCGAGTTTTGGAGATTGATGTTCTGTTATGTGTATGGCTCCATAGCTTTATCACCACCATTATCCGCTTGCTCCCTCAACTCCGGTCCCGTATCAGACTGATCGAGAAGCCGGAGCAATTAGTATTCACTCATCTTCATCTGGAGCATATAATTGTGTCTCTGTGTTCGGTCACTTCTAATTGCTCGCGCACAATGCTCAAGGCACTCTCCTCGCATTCATCCCCAACTTCCTGCCTAATAATTTTCAAAATCAAATGAAATGCTTTATCGGCAGCGACACTGCGCCTACTGAACATGGCTTCCGCCAGACCAATGTAAATTATAACTGCCTGGCACTTCATATCATTCTATGCTGCAGATGACAAAGTGAATCACTTTCACTTTCAACTTAGGGCAAACAAACTTGTCTATTTCGGCAGGATTCGAGATTACGATATTGACCATAACGACACATGAAATGTGCATATTAGCATGTCCGTATGTACAAATCACCACCTTCATGATCTCCAAACTCCTTGCTCCCAAATGTATTCCTCTTCACGTTATTCACGTGTGGTTCTAAGCCAAATTCGCCCTTTTATTGATGCCTATGGTATGTGGAGTCATATGATGCCGCGCGGTCCTTCTAGGTAGCACCTCCTGGCATTTCGGAACTGTTCTAAATTTTGGAAAACACAACCCACTGCCATTAACAAAATAAAAAATAAATAAAAGTCACAAAATTTGGGGAGATTCTAAGCCCCCATATAACAGCAATCCCATGTAGAATTTCGCAAATGCATCATATGATGCCTCCGGTACTTCTAGGGTTAAATCTCAAAAATCTGAGCTTTGGATCTGCTTCTCCATACATTTTGCCATGGCATGCCTGTCCTAATTTTGTAAAACCTGGCTGAATTTCTATTTCCCTGTTCTTGAACTTTTCTGACTTCAAATGTGGCAAGGAGTAATTGCAGGGGTCACACAATGCAGGATGTACTGTTGTTTTCACGATATTTACAACTATGTGAGAGACATACCAAAAAGTTAGGGTGCCAGTTTCCAATGAATGGACTGTAGTCACATCAGTGCCGTGACCATCCGCGCCTAGCAGCGCCTCGGCTTTCTCCGACGGGCGGCTCACATTCTAACGCCAGCTGGCCAAACGACTGTCTACCACCACATGTGCAACATTTTCAAGACATACCGGGAAGTCTTGTATAAAAGGCGCGGCTTCTATGACTTTCTTGATGAAATTTTGCAGGCTTCTATACAAGACAGGTATTTCTATGTATGTCAAAACTAAAACCAGGCTTATGTGTGATTTTATGGGCCCAAAATTACGCCTTCTATTCTATATAAATGTGGTACACTAAATCTCTGAACAAATGTTGGAAGTAGCATTTCTGTGTAAGATACAGTTATGAGCATTGGTATGTGTCCAATTTTATTAGGCCATGTCATCACTCGGCTGGCTAACAAGGAGGAATATTATAGTCCTTGGGGGTGTACTCAGACACTCGCTTGTCCAAGCAATTATTTGGCTTTAGCGACTGTACAGCTGATCCAACGATATTGCCAAGTTCCAGGGACTGATGTTGCATCCACACCAGACGCTGTACTGATGCTCTCCAAGCCCTCCACTTCAATGAAAACAGACTATCAGAACACATGGACTGCAATTTTTTCAATTTTTTATACTGAATGGACCAAAATAATTTTCAAGTCGCCCAGCAACCAAACCAACAAAGCAGTTCTTGTCTTGTCTCGTTGCTCTTTCAGTCGTGAATGAAGACACTTGTGCTCTCCATCGTCACTGACGACACCCGACAAACCTAATACAGTAGTACTGTAGCGATAGAGTCGTTTATCACTCAACAATATCCGCTTTTGCGTCATTCTCATTTACGCTGTTTTTTTCTATATACAGTCTGCAGCCTGGCCGAGTGGCTTTGCGGCAGGTGAGAGTCGTTTTCTGGCTTTCACCTGACTCTCTTGATGAGCAATCGCCATCCCAGTCATCGTCAAAAATGTCGTGTCGTGATTGGCGTCAACGTTGATCAATACGTTACGATGATCGCGCCTCGCAATTGTACTCATTCCCCAGCAATGCTCCGGTACATGGGTGTTCCCAATCATGTCTCCTCACTTGCCTGAGGCTTGCCCAGATGGCTAGTCACTAACAAGCAAAAACGCACGGGCTTGTCACAATGACAGGTGACAAGAAAGACAGAAAGGTGATGGGAAGTTGTTCTGCGACTCTTCTTTCGCTCGACTTCAACGTCATTTTTTGATCATTTTTATATCAAACACAAGTGATAGTTTTCGATGATCCGCGCTCATAATATGAAAGAGAACATGACAGTTTCCGATCTGTCGGACACACAGACAAACATGTGGCTTTTGTGGAAGAGCACAATGCAAAGGAAAAAATTCTGATTATGGCACAGAATTAAGCATGATATGGTAAAAAGGAGAAGAACAAAATCTCACGAGTACGACTAACTGTCCGCCAACGTAACCAAATAAGATTCATTCATAACTCGTAACACTTTGTGCTTCTGCCTTCTACCATAATGAATTTGGCTCACCATCCGAGTTCAATAGAGCATGTCAACTACATTAGATCCAAATCACGGACCAAAGTCTTCCTGGAAAGTACCACCTTGCTCTGGGCAGCGTTGCACTTGCATACTCTTTCACCAATGGATCATCAATAAAGGGCCGCGTGAACGTGCTCGGCAAAACCATTTTTTCCATTCCGTCTTTTCTCGTCTTTTGTTACGAAAGCCCCAAGACATGTTTTGGCTGAATGCAACCTATTAATACTTCAAACAACACTTTCTGCCTGCAGCTAGGAGAAATATCATCTCTTGTCAAGATTTGTCACGGGATTCCACGACAATATCACTTAATAACCCACAGATAACTAACGCTTTCACTGCTACACAGTTTTGCAATTGACTAGCAACTCCATGTATTGATTAGCTGTTTTTCTTCATCAAAAGTGTACACGTACATCTGTACAATTGCAGGATTTTGTACAGAATTGGACAATAGCCGCAGTTGCTCTTTGCTTTTCCAAGCGAACGGTTGACATGAATATTTACGTCAGGGTTTTCGCTTGGGCTTGTTACATGTTCAGCGTCCATCCGACTTCGAGTTCTTCACAACATATTATCCTTCAACAGGGTAGTTCCACTGATTCCTTCGACAAAGAAAGCTCAGGAAAGCGCTCAAACGATCGTGACATTCCGTGCAAAGTGTACAGAATTTCCACTTTTCTCCATCGACACGAATCACATTCCTGGCTCGTCCAGTTCTCTTTCCCACTTCTGGACAGTAATCAGATTCACTGACATGTTGGCTACATGAGACTAAGAACCATCTACTACAACTGTGTCTTGTCGAACACAAGCAAACTGAATTGAGCTTGACAGTGAAAGAAGAAAGGAGAACTTAAGGGGAAATTGCCGCCGCGTACAAAACTTCAAAAGACTGCAGTGTTGGTGCAGTGTCCAAAATCATCCAGAGCGCTATCCGCGACCCGCGTGCGGACTGAGCAGGACAAGCCAGTTGGTTGGAGTAGCAAAATACTACTCGCTAGTCAGTAGTGTGCACAACAGTAGCATGTAAACTGCACACAATCAGTACAGAATGGTTTCGTACATACCGGTAGGCATGGCCAGTGCAACGCACTTTTGGGCGATACAAAACAAAACAAAAATAGCAGCCAGTGAATTTTGATCCGCAAACTGCGATGCGAAACCGGATAAATTGATCCCTGCCATGATATACTGAATTCGAAATGCTATAAATAAATATAGAAAGGAAAAGGACATTATGGATACGAGTTAAGAGTAACTCTCCATCATTGAAACCAGATACTGTATACAGTCAGAAACATCCGAGTTTCAAATTGCACACCTGATGAGCCGTCACGAACCATACGGCAAAACGTCGTCGTGTGAAACAACTTGTTTTGTAGTCAACTAGTCCATCTCAATGTCATGCACGAGGAGTACTGTAAGAGTTTGGCTTTTGGCTTGTACAATTCGTTTTCGCAAAGCTTCCCCCTTCTTTACTTTTCTTTGATATTTATGACCCACCCAGTTTGGGTCGTGTACTGCTTTGCGGCTTCGAATTGTAGTTAGACCGCTTTGCCAAGTAGCCTACTCTTCTCGTCATCGTCCAGTAAAAATCGACATTCTTTCTTTCGTTTGGACTGTAGCTTGTGCTCGTTACAGTGGTCGAGAGTTACTCTTTACTCGTATCCATATGTCCTTTTCCTTTCTACATTGATAATTGGCTCAACATCCGAGTTCATAAATAAATAAATTGTGCATACATAACTAGACGACACAAGGCAAGACTAGTTTTAAGGATTCCAGTAACGCTTTCTTGTGACGATCATCAGTTGGAAATCCATCACAATCCGGCATTGAAGAAGTTCCAAACTGATCCTAAAGAGTGATTGGGATTCCATAATTGTGCATAGGGATTTATCTAGGATTGAAGGAGTTCAAAGCCCTGCTCCTTTATACAAGCAGAACAAGCCAACTTTGTGATAATCAGAAATATAATCAGACCTGCATTCACACGCTCAATATATTGCTGCCTGACAAAACCAGAATAATCCCTCTTTGTGCTCACCAGAAATATAAGATCCATCTGTAGTGATCTTTGGAGAAATTGGTTGGAACTGCCCTGGACTTTGAGATGTTTGACTTTTTCCTTGCGCTGGCACTGGTGGAGGTGGGATGGTTATACCCGGGAGATCTGATTTGCACACGAAAGAAAATTTTAAAAAAATCATTGCATTACCCATGATGCCTAAAGGCGGTTTGTCAAGATGTTGTCAATCCAATCACTAGATATCAGTATCTAACTTACTTTAGAAAACTATCAGGCAGCTTTACCACATCTCATCGAAGTACGTGATCCAAGAGTGATAAATATTGAAATATATATTGCAAAATTCTATTGCCGTTAGCAGAACCTGATGTGCTTCTGCTATATCATTGGAGAAGTCCCTTTTTTAGCCTCACCTGAAAAGTGAGATGCACTTGTACTGCTCGCAGCAGGCATTCCTTGACCTCTTCTTTGGGCTGTTACTTGTTTTGCTGGTAGAGTTGTTTCTGACACATCCGCATCTGCAAAGAGACAAAATGACAAATTCTCCACATTTCACATGATGTGTGGATTCCCAAGTGGATTATATGGGTCACAACTAGCTAAAACAGAATGAAAATTGTCTATTTTTTATTCCAATATTAAAAGAGGTTTTGAAACCTAACTTGACCTATTGAATGCAGTACAGGGCACCCAGGTAGTTTAAAGATGCCCCAAGCACCGCTTTGAAATTAATACACTTTGAAAGAGTGAAGGACAGTTTCCGAGCAGTCGAACACAGTGACAAACATGTGGCTATTGTGGAGGAGCACAATACAAAGAAAACATTTCTGATAATGACACAGAAGTACGCATGTTATGGCCAAAAGGAGACGGACAAAATGCTACGAGTTATGGCTGTATATGATCTGGAGAGAGTTGGTGGACAGTTAGTTATAACTCGGGACATTTTGTCCTTTTGCTTTTCACCATAATTAAATTGGCTCACCGTCTGAGTTCAATTGAGCATATCGACGGCATTAGTTCCAAGTCACGGACCAAGTTTTTCTTGGAAAGCACCAGGATGCTCTGAACAGTATTTCCCTTTCATACTTTTCCGCCACCGGTTCATGAATGAAGCGCAGTGTGAACGTGCTCTGCCAAAACAGTTTTCCATTCCGTCTTTTCTCTTCTTCTTTTTTTGGCAAAGACATTTTTGAGCTGAACTTGGCCCATATACATTTCAAATAGCACTTTCTCCCTGTAGCTAGGTGAAATATCATCTCTTGTCGACCTGTGTCACGTGATTCCAGGACAATATCACGAAACAACCCACAGATAACTAACGCTTTCTCACACACTGCATATCTCGCTACATATCACATGGTAATTGTTATGCTGGGCATGCCACATTCATGGTATGTAGCAGAACTCTCAGGGCGGGGTCGGAATATCAATTTTCATTGCATGATGGATTCAGTTCGTGAAACTCAGAGTTACGAAACCGCAAATTCTCGTTCTTCTGGCTGTGCACTTCAAACAGCCTCAACCCAAGCACTAAATGTGTCATTGTTCAGGATAAAAGAAGTGATACCGGGATACTTACAGTCAAGGTTTGTTTAGTGCCAATGTGAGAACCGATATTGGCAGCAATTAGTCGAACCTTTTTATCCATGATATTATACTGAAATCGAAATGAAGCTATAAATATATAATTTGGGCATTCATTACTCGACAACACAAGGCAAGGTTGGTTTTAACCCTTTGCATGCTGAGCCCCTTTTCTCCAATCCACTGGCTTTCCAGCGCACTGACTCTCTTGGTGGAGTATATACTCACAGCTCCGAACGAAATTTATTCTCATTTCACTCCACCTTGATGGATTTTCATCGTCCTGGGCTCGTTGGAAAGATCAGGACCAAGCGAATCCATCCTGGCAGCTCTCAGCTCCATCTACACATCAGGGCCACTTCCACGTCCTCTCCAAACTACTCCACCGTGCCTCGTAACGGCACAACCACTCAATTTCACATTCTTGTTCGGCTTCTTGCCCAAATTCAACAGATTTTCACAATGCAAACTGCGCTGCAAAGCTCAGATCCAAGCTCTTCATTTGATGTCCATCACGCATGCGCCGTGCCAAAGGGAAATTCCGTGGCATGCTCCTCAACAAAAGAAGTCATGAAAAACATTCGAGTTCACTCTGGGCCGTGATTTCCGTGTTCATCTTGTCGCCGCTCAATGAATTCTTATCCTATCGCAAAGAACTCTATATCCCCGGAAAGATGAGGTCAAGACCTTTCCAACGGTGTATTGATTGTCGCGATGCCTTTATGTTTGACGAAGTGACAAAAGTTTGTACACTGGTCTATGCCCTGCTTTATATCGCGCGATTTTTTGCGAGTTAACTCGTATGTAGTGGATCAGGTCTTGCATAAAGTGCGTACTCAGCACGCAAAGGGTTAAGGATTCCAGTAACGCTTTTGTGTGACGATCATCAGTTGAAAAATCATTCACAATCCAGAATTGAAGAAGGTCCAAACTGATCCCAAAGAATAGTCCTTATGCACATTGTACAGATGTACGAAGTTCTGTACTAGGGCCATAGGTGTGTACATACCCGGTGCGGTGTTCATTGTGTGCTATACATGCGTGTTTGACCCATTTAGCCTCATAATTCGCGGCGAACAATCACTTTTCCAGCTTCTTCACTTTGGGATTGAACTAACGACTCGCTAGATCACTGTCGAAAAAGTGTTCGTATGAAATGCCTTCAGGGCCCATTTCGCTGTGGAAATAGCAATAAACACAATAGGGTCCTGCACATTCAACACCCAACCGGGTCCACGGGATTCTACGGGATTTCGTGCATCTATACAACGTGCATAAGGGCTATGACTGGGATTCCAGAACTGTACATGGGGATTTATGTAGGATTGAAAGAGTTCAAAGCCCTGCTGCTTTATACAAGCAGAACAAGCCCACTTTGTGATAATCAGAAATATAATCAGACCTGCATTCACACGATCAATATATTGCGGCCTGATAAAACCAGAATAATCCCTCTTTGTGCTCACCAGAAATATAAGATCCATCTGTAGTGGTCTTTGGAGAAATTGGTTGGAACTGCACTGGACTTTGAGATGCTTGACTTTTTCCTTGCGCTGGCACTGGTGGAGTTTGTATGTTTATACCCGGGAGATCTGTTTTGCACACGAAAGAAAATTAAAAAAAAATCATTGCATTAACCATGATGCCTAAAGGTGGTTTGTCAAGATGTTGTCAATCCAATCACTAGATATCAGTAACTACCTATCAGGCAGTTTAACCACATTGCATGATATTACATGATTGAAGAGTGGTGGGTGAACTATACACTGTCAAGATTCCATTTCCACGCGGATATGATCCTGCTACATGTATATCATTGGAGAAGTTCCTTGTTTAGACTTACCTGAAATGTTAGATGCACTTGGATTGGTCACTGCAGGCATTCCTTGCACTTTTCTTTGGGCTGTTACTGGTTTTGCTGGTAAGGTTATGCCTGACACATCCGCATCTGCAAGGAGATAAAAAACGACAAATTCCCTACATTACACATGATGTGTAGGTTCCAGTCACGCTTTCTTGTGACGATCATCAGTTGGAAATCCATCATAATCCGGCATTGAAGAGGTTCCAAACTGATCCTAAAGAGTGACTGGGATTCCAGAATTGTACATGGGGATTTATCTAGGATTGAAGGAGTTCAAAGCCCTGCTGCTTTATACAAGCAGAACAAGACCACTTTGTGATAATCAGAAATATAATCAGACCTGCATTCACACGATCAATACAATTATTGCTGCCCGATAAAACCAGAATAATCCATCTTTGTGCTCACCAGAAATATAAGATCCATCTGTAGTGGTCTTTGGAGAAATTGGTTGGAACTGCCCTGTACTTTGAGATGCTTGACTTTTTCCTCGCGCTGGCACTGGTGAAGGTGGTATGGTTATATCCGGGAGATCTGATTTGCACACGAAAGAAAATTTAAAAAATCATTGCATTACCCATGATGCCTAAAGCCTAGTTCACATTCGACGGAGCGCGACGGGACGCAACGTACGGATCGACGGCGTCCAATGTGAACACCAGGAATGGGAACGCAAACGTACTACCGTACAGATCGGGAAGCGACGGGAAGAGTTGGATCGATCCAACTTTTCATACCGTAGGTGGGCGTAGACGGGGACGCAAGCGTACAAAACGGCTGCAATTCAAGTGTGAACAGGAGACGGGGTTGTGCGCCGACTGCTCCCGATTCGTACTTGGAACATTTTAGCATTTTGAACACTGTGCTTCCCATGATAACTCACAGAATGGCTAGCACGACTTGAGTTGAATTTTAGCAACATAAGATCTCATGTCACTTATTGTATTTAGGGATAGTTCAGAAGCGTGACAGACGAACCATTCTATCATTTCCTGGAGCTATTATTTGAATGCCACAACTTTGAGGGCTAATTGTTTGGTCTTCACGAAAAACTGGTATTGTGAACTTGATTCCGCTTCTTTCAAGGAAAAATAATTGAAAAGAAGTCCCGAAAAACGAGAAATTAGGTCCAAAAGTCGCCCCGTCACGCACCGTGCCTTATGACTCGCGCCGTTCGACGGTGAACGTCGCAACGACTGCTGCATGTTGTGTCGTACGAATTGTACAGGATTTTACAGCTCACCCCAGCCTTCCCGACAAGCCCTTACGTCCCGTCCCGTCGGCGTTGCGTCGAATGTGAACTAGGCTTAAAGGTGGTTTGTCAAAATGTTGTCAATCCAATCACTAGATATCAGTAACTACCTATCAGGCAGTTTAACCACATTGCATGGAATTACGTGATTGAAGAGTGGTGAGTGAACTATACACTGTCCAGATTCCATTTCCACGCGGATATGATCCTGCTACATGTATATCATTGGAGAAGTTCCTTGTTTAGACTTACCTGAAATGTTAGATGCACTTGGATTGGTCACTGCAGGCATTCCTTGCACTTTTCTTTGGGCTGTTACGTGTTTTGCTGGTAAGGTTATGCCTGACACATCCGCATCTGCAAGGAGATAAAAAACGACAAATTCCCTACATTACACATGATGTGTAGGTTCCAGTAACGCTTTCTTGTGACGATTATCAGTTGGAAATCCATCACAATCCGGTTTTGAAGAGGTTCCAAACTGATCCTAAAGAGTGACTGGGATTCCAGAATTGTATATGGGGATTTATCTAGGATTGAAGGAGTTCAAAGCCCTACTGCTTTATACAAGCAGAACAAGCCCACTTTGTAATAATCAGAAATATAATCAGACCTGCATTCGCACGATCAATATTATTGCACAATCAATATAATTATTGCTGCCCGATAAAACCAGAATAATCCCTCTTGGTGCTCACCAGAAATATAAAATCCATCTGTAGTTGTCTTTGGAGAAATTGGTTGGAACTGCCCTGTACTTTGAGATGTTTGACTTTTTCCTTGCGCTGGCACTGGTGGAGGTGGTATGGTTATACCCGGGAGATCTGATTTGCACACGAAAGAAAATTGAAAAAAATCATTGCATTACCCATAATGCCTAAAGTCTAGTTCACATTCGACTTGGCGCGACGGGACGCGACGTAAGGATCGTCGGGAAGCGACGGGACGGTCTGACGGCGTCCAATTTGAACACCAGGAATTGGAACGCAACTGTACTACCGTACAGATCGGGAAGCGACGGGAAGAGTTGAATCGATCCAACTTTTCATACCGTAGACGGGTGTAGACGGGGACGCAAGCGTACAAAACGGCTGCAATTCAAGTGTGAACAGGAGACGGCGTCGTGCGCCGACTGCTCCCGATTCGTACTTGGAAAATGTTAGCATTTCGAACACTGTGCTTCCCATGATAACTCACAGAATGGCTAACATCACTTGAGTTTAATTTTAGCACCATAAGATCTCATGTCACTTATTTTATTTAGGGATAGTTCAGAAGCGTGACAGACGAACTATTCTATCATTTCCTGGGGCTATTATTTGAATGCCACAACCTTGAGGGCTAATTTTTTAGTCTTCACAAAAAACTGGTACTGTGAACTTGATTCCGCTTCTTTCAAGGAAAAATAATTGAAAAGAAGTCCCGAAAAACGAGAAATTAGGTCCAAAAGTCGCCCCGTCACGCACCGTGCCTTATGACTCGCGCCGTTCGACGGTGAACGTCGCAACAACTGCTGCATGTTGTGTCGTACGAATCGTACAGGATTTTACAGCTCACACCAGCCCTCCCGACAAGCCCTTACGTCCCGTCCCATCGGCGTTGCGTCGAATGTGAACTAGGCTTAAAGGTGGATTGTTAAGATGTTGTCAATCCAATCACTAGATATCAGTAACTACCTATCAGGCTGTTTAACCACATTGCATGGAATTACGTGATTGAAGAGTGGTGAGTGAACTATATACTGTCAAGATTCCATTTCCACGCGGATATGATCCTGCTACATGTATATCATTGGAGAAGTTCCTTGTTTAGACTTACCTGAAATGTTAGATGCACTTGGATTGGTCACTGCAGGCATTCCTTGCACTTTTCTTTGGGCTGTTACTGGTTTTGCTGGTAAGGTTATGCCTGACACATCCGCATCTGCAAGGAGATAAAAAACGACAAATTCCCTACATTACACATGATGTGTAGGTTCCAGTAACGCTTTCTTGTGACGATTATCAGTTGGAAATCCATCACAATCCGGTATTGAAGAGGTTCCAAACTGATCCTAAAGAGTGACTGGGATTCCAGAATTGTACATGGGGATTTATCTAGGATTGAAGGAGTTCAAAGCCCTACTGCTTTATACAAGCAGAACAAGCCCACTTTGTAATAATCAGAAATATAATCAGACCTGCATTCGCACGATCAATATTATTGCACAATCAATATAATTATTGCTGCCCGATAAAACCAGAATAATCCCTCTTTGTGCTCACCAGAAATATAAGATCCATCTGTAGTGGTCTTTGGAGAAATTGGTTGGAACTGCCCTGGACTTGGAGATGTTTGACTTTTTCCTTGCGCTGGCACTGGTGGAGGTGATATGGTTATACCCGGGAGATCTGATTTGCACACGAAAGAAAATTTTAAAAAAATCATTGCATTAACCATGATGCCTAAAGGTGGTTTGTCAAGATGTTGTCAATCCAATCACTAGATATCAGTAACTACCTATCAGGCAGCTTAACCACATTGCATGGAATTACGTGATTGAAGAGTGGTGAGTGAACTGTACACTGTCCAGATTCTATTTCCACGCGGATATGATCCTGCTACATGTATATCATTGGAGAAGTTCCTTGTTTAGACTTACCTGAAATGTTAGATGCACTTGGATTGGTCACTGCAGGCATTCCTTGCACTTTTCTTTGGGCTGTTACTGGTTTTGCTGGTAAGGTTATGCCTGACACATCCGCATCTGCAAGGAGATAAAAAACGACAAATTGCACACATTACACATGATGTGTAGGTTCCAGTAACGCTTTCTTGTGGCGATCATCAGTTGGAAATCCATCACAATCCGGTATTGAAGAGGTTCCAAACTGATCCGAAAGAGTGACTGGGATTCCAGAATTGTACATGGGGATTTATCTGGGATTGAAGGAGTTCAAAGCCCTGCTGCTTTATACAAGCAGAACAAGCCCACTTTGTGATGATCAGAAATATAATCAGACCTGCATTCGCACGATCAATATTATTGCACAATCAATATAATTATTGCTGCCCGATAAAACGAGAATAATCCTTCTTTGTGCTCACCGGAAATATAAGATCCATCTGTAGTTGTCTTTGGAGAAATTGGTTGGAACTGCCCTGTACTTTGAGATGTTTGACTTTTTCCTTGCGCTGGCACTGGTGGAGGTGGTATGGTTATACCCGGGAGATCTGATTTGCACACGAAAGAAAATTGAAAAAAATCATTGCATTACCCATGATGCCTAAAGTCTAGTTCACATTCGACGGAGCGCGACGGGACGCGACGTAAGGATCGACGGGAAGCGACGGGACGGTCTGACGGCGTCCAATGTGAACACCAGGAAAGGGAACGCAACCGGACTACCGTACAAATCGGGAAGCGACGGGAAGAGTTGGATCCATCCAACTTTTCATACCGTAGACGGGCGTGGACGGGGACGCAAGCGTACAAAACGGCTGCAATTCAAGTGTGAACAGGAGACGGCGTCGTGCGCCGACTGCTCCCGATTCGTACTTGGAAAATTTTAGCATTTCGAACACTGTGCTTCCCATGATAACTCACAGAATGGCTAGCACGACTTGAGTTGAATTTTAGCAACATAATATCTCATGTCACTTATTGTATTTAGGAATAGTTCAGAAGCGTGACAGACAAACTATTCTATCATTTCCAGGGGCTATTATTTGAATGCCACAACTTTGAGGGCTAATTTTTTGGTCTTCACGAAAAACTGGTATTGTGAACTTGATTCAGCTTCTTTCAAGGAGAAATAATTGAAAAGAAGTCCCGAAAAACGAGAAATTAGGTCCAAAAGTCGCCCCGTCACGGACCGTGCCTTATGACTCGCGCCGTTCGACGGTGAACGGCGCAACGACTGCTCCATGTTGTGTCGTACAAATCGTACAGGATTTTGCAGCTCACCCCAGCCCTCCCGACAAGTACCTTTGGCGTTGCGTCGAATGTGAACTAGGCTTAAAGGTGGTTTGTCAAGATGTTGACACAAGCTCAACTGATGAGGGGTGAATTCCCCGAAACACTGTGTATTGAGCAGGGAGTGGTGCTTTCTTGCAGGTTTGCCGAGTCGAAGGTTCGATGGACTTCTCGTGTGCTCTGGATGGCAGTCGTGAGTCAGTCAAGTGTCAAGTTAAGTCGGCGGAATAGCGCGAGCTCCGGTGTGGGGAGCAAACACTTTCTGCATTCACACGATCACTATAATTATTGCTGCCCGATAAAACCAGAATAATCCCTCTTTGTGCTCACCAGAAATATAAGATCCATTTGTAGTTGTCTTTGGAGAAATTGGTTGGAACTGCCCTGGACTTTGAGATGTTTGACTTTTTCCTTGCGCTGGCACTGGTGGAGGTGGTATGGTTATACCAGGGAGATCTGATTTGCACACGAAAGAAAATTTTAAAAAAATCATTGCATTACCCATGATGCCTTAAGGTGGTTTGTCAAGATGTCAATCCAATCACTAGATATCAGTAACTACCTATCAGGCAGTTTAACCACATTGCATGATATTACATGATTGAAGAGTGGTGGGTGAACTATACACTGTCAAGATTCCATTTCCACGCGGATATGATCCTGCTACATGTATATCATTGGAGAAGTTCCTTGTTTAGACTTACCTGAAATGTTAGATGCACTTGGATTGGTCACTGCAGGCATTCCTTGCACTTTTCTTTGGGCTGTTTCTGGTTTTGCTGGTAAGGTTATGCCTGACACATCCGCATCTGCAAGGAGATAAAAAACGACAAATTCCCTACATTACACATGATGTGTAGGTTCCAGTCACGCTTTCTTGTGACGATCATCAGTTGGAAATCCATCATAATCCGGCATTGAAGAGGTTCCAAACTGATCCTAAAGAGTAACTGGGATTCCAGAATTGTACATGGGGATTTATCTAGGATTGAAGGAGTTCAAAGCCCTGCTGCTTTATACAAGCAGAACAAGCCCACTTTGTGATAATCAGAAATATAATCAGACCTGCATTCACACGATCAATACAATTATTGCTGCCCGATAAAACCAGAATAATCCATCTTTGTGCTCACCAGAAATATAAGATCCATCTGTAGTGGTCTTTGGAGAAATTGGTTGGAACTGCCCTGTACTTTGAGATGCTTGACTTTTTCCTCGCGCTGGCACTGGTGGAGGTGGTATGGTTATATCCGGGAGATCTGATTTGCACACGAAAGAAAATTTAAAAAATCATTGCATTACCCATGATGCCTAAAGCCTAGTTCACATTCGACGGAGCGCGACGGGACGCAACGTACGGATCGACGGCGTCCAATGTGAACACCAGGAATGGGAACGCAAACGTACTACCGTACAGATCGGGAAGCGACGGGAAGAGTTGGATCGATCCAACTTTTCATACCGTAGGTGGGCGTAGACGGGGACGCAAGCGTACAAAACGGCTGCAATTCAAGTGTGAACAGGAGACGGGGTTGTGCGCCGACTGCTCCCGATTCGTACTTGGAACATTTTAGCATTTTGAACACTGTGCTTCCCATGATAACTCACAGAATGGCTAGCACGACTTGAGTTGAATTTTAGCAACATAAGATCTCATGTCACTTATTGTATTTAGGGATAGTTCAGAAGCGTGACAGACGAACCATTCTATCATTTCCTGGGGCTATTATTTGAATGCCACAACTTTGAGGGCTAATTGTTTGGTCTTCACGAAAAACTGGTATTGTGAACTTGATTCCGCTTCTTTCAAGGAAAAATAATTGAAAAGAAGTCCCGAAAAACGAGAAATTAGGTCCAAAAGTCGCCCCGTCACGCACCGTGCCTTATGACTCGCGCCGTTCGACGGTGAACGTCGCAACGACTGCTGCATGTTGTGTCGTACGAATAGTACAGGATTTTACAGCTCACCCCAGCCTTCCCGACAAGCCCTTACGTCCCGTCCCGTCGGCGTTGCGTCGAATGTGAACTAGGCTTAAAGGTGGTTTGTCAAGATGTTGTCAATCCAATCACTAGATATCAGTAACTACCTTTTCAGGCAGTTTAACCACATTGCATGGAATTACGTGATTGAAGAGTGGTGAGTGAACTATACACTGTCCAGATTCCATTTCCACGCGGATATGATCCTGCTACATGTATATCATTGGAGAAGTTCCTTGTTTAGACTTACCTGAAATGTTAGATGCACTTGGATTGGTCACTGCAGGCATTCCTTGCACTTTTCTTTGGGCTGTTACTGGTTTTGCTGGTAAGGTTATGCCTGACACATCCGCATCTGCAAGGAGATAAAAAACGACAAATTCCCTACATTACACATGATGTGTAGGTTCCAGTAACGCTTTCTTGTGACGATTATCAGTTGGAAATCCATCACAATCCGGTATTGAAGAGGTTCCAAACTGATCCTAAAGAGTGACTGGGATTCCAGAATTGTACATGGGGATTTATCTAGGATTGAAGGAGTTCAAAGCCCTACTGCTTTATACAAGCAGAACAAGCCCACTTTGTAATAATCAGAAATATAATCAGACCTGCATTCGCACGATCAATTTTATTGCACAATCAATATAATTATTGCTGCCCGATAAAACCAGAATAATCCCTCTTGGTGCTCACCAGAAATATAAGATCCATCTGTAGTTGTCTTTGGAGGAATTGGTTGGAACTGCCCTGTACTTTGAGATGTTTGACTTTTTCCTTGCGCTGGCACTGGTGGAGGTGGTATGGTTATACCCGGGAGATCTGATTTGCACACGAAAGAAAATTGAAAAAAATCATTGCATTACCCATAATGCCTAAAGCCTAGTTCACATTCGACGGGGCGCGACGGGACGCGACGTAAGGATCGTCGGGAAGCGACGGGACGGTCTGACGGCGTCCAATTTGAACACCAGGAATGGGAACGCAACTGTACTACCGTACAGATCGGGAAGCGACGGGAAGAGTTGAATCGATCCAACTTTTCATACCGTAGACGGGTGTAGACGGGGACGCAAGCGTACAAAACGGCTGCAATTCAAGTGTGAACAGGAGACGGCGTCGTGCGCCGACTGCTCCCGATTCGTACTTGGAAATTGTTAGCATTTCGAACACTGTGCTTCCCATGATAACTCACAGAATGGCTAACATCACTTGAGTTTAATTTTAGCACCATAAGATCTCATGTCACTTATTTTATTTAGGGATAGTTCAGAAGCGTGACAGACGAACTATTCTATCATTTCCTGGGGCTATTATTTGAATGCCACAACCTTGAGGGCTAATTTCTTAGTCTTCACAAAAAACTGGTACTGTGAACTTGATTCCGCTTCTTTCAAGGAAAAATAATTGAAAAGAAGTCCCGAAAAACGAGAAATTAGGTCCAAAAGTCGCCCCGTCACGCACCGTGCCTTATGACTCGCGCCGTTCGACGGTGAGCGTCGCAACAACTGCTGCATGTTGTGTCGTACGAATCGTACAGGATTTTACAGCTCACACCAGCCCTCCCGACAAGCCCTTACGTCCCGTCCCATCGGCGTTGCGTCGAATGTGAACTAGGCTTAAAGGTGGTTTGTTAAGATGTTGTCAATCCAATCACTAGATATCAGTAACTACCTATCAGGCTGTTTAACCACATTGCATGGAATTACGTGATTGAAGAGTGGTGAGTGAACTATATACTGTCAAGATTCCATTTCCACGCGGATATGATCCTGCTACATGTATATCATTGGAGAAGTTCCTTGTTTAGACTTACCTGAAATGTTAGATGCACTTGGATTGGTCACTGCAGGCATTCCTTGCACTTTTCTTTGGGCTGTTACTGGTTTTGCTGGTAAGGTTATGCCTGACACATCCGCATCTGCAAGGAGATAAAAAACGACAAATTCCCTACATTACACATGATGTGTAGGTTCCAGTAACGCTTTCTTGTGACGATCATCAGTTGGAAATCCATCACAATCCGGTATTGAAGAGGTTCCAAACTGATCCTAAAGAGTGACTGGGATTCCAGAATTGTACATGGGGATTTATCTAGGATTGAAGGAGTTCAAAGCCCTACTGCTTTATACAAGCAGAACAAGCCCACTTTGTAATAATCAGAAATATAATCAGACCTGCATTCGCACGATCAATATTATTGCACAATCAATATAATTATTGCTGCCCGATAAAACCAGAATAATCCCTCTTTGTGCTCACCAGAAATATAAGATCCATCTGTAGTGGTCTTTGGAGAAATTGGTTGGAACTGCCCTGGACTTGGAGATGTTTGACTTTTTCCTTGCGCTGGCACTGGTGGAGGTGATATGGTTATACCCGGGAGATCTGATTTGCACACGAAAGAAAATTTTAAAAAAATCATTGCATTAACCATGATGCCTAAAGGTGGTTTGTCAAGATGTTGTCAATCCAATCACTAGATATCAGTAACTACCTATCAGGCAGCTTAACCACATTGCATGGAATTACGTGATTGAAGAGTGGTGAGTGAACTGTACACTGTCCAGATTCTATTTCCACGCGGATATGATCCTGCTACATGTATATCATTGGAGAAGTTCCTTGTTTAGACTTACCTGAAATGTTAGATGCACTTGGATTGGTCACTGCAGGCATTCCTTGCACTTTTCTTTGGGCTGTTACTGGTTTTGCTGGTAAGGTTATGCCTGACACATCCGCATCTGCAAGGAGATAAAAAACGACAAATTGCACACATTACACATGATGTGTAGGGGGGGGGGGGGTTCCAGTAACGCTATCTTGTGACGATCATCAGTTGGAAATCCATCACAATCCGGTATTGAAGAGGTTCCAAACTGATCCTAAAGAGTGACTGGGATTCCAGAATTGTACATGGGGATTTATCTGGGATTGAAGGAGTTCAAAGCCCTACTGCTTTATACAAGCAGAACAAGCCCACTTTGTGATGATCAGAAATATAATCAGACCTGCATTCGCACGATCAATATTATTGCACAATCAATATAATTATTGCTGCCCGATAAAACGAGAATAATCCTTCTTTGTGCTCACCGGAAATATAAGATCCATCTGTAGTTGTCTTTGGAGAAATTGGTTGGAACTGCCCTGTACTTTGAGATGTTTGACTTTTTCCTTGCGCTGGCACTGGTGGAGGTGGTATGGTTATACCCGGGAGATCTGATTTGCACACGAAAGAAAATTGAAAAAAATCATTGCATTACCCATGATGCCTAAAGTCTAGTTCACATTCGACGGAGCGCGACGGGACGCGACGTAAGGATCGACGGGAAGCGACGGGACGGTCTGACGGCGTCCAATGTGAACACCAGGAAAGGGAACGCAACCGGACTACCGTACAAATCGGGAAGCGACGGGAAGAGTTGGATCCATCCAACTTTTCATACCGTAGACGGGCGTAGACGGGGACGCAAGCGTACAAAACGGCTGCAATTCAAGTGTGAACAGGAGACGGCGTCGTGCGCCGACTGCTCCCGATTCGTACTTGGAAAATTTTAGCATTTCGAACACTGTGCTTCCCATGATAACTCACAGAATGGCTAGCACGACTTGAGTTGAATTTTAGCAACATAATATCTCATGTCACTTATTGTATTTAGGAATAGTTCAGAAGCGTGACAGACAAACTATTCTATCATTTCCAGGGGCTATTATTTGAATGCCACAACTTTGAGGGCTAATTTTTTGGTCTTCACGAAAAACTGGTATTGTGAACTTGATTCAGCTTCTTTCAAGGAGAAATAATTGAAAAGAAGTCCCGAAAAACGAGAAATTAGGTCCAAAAGTCGCCCCGTCACGGACCGTGCCTTATGACTCGCGCCGTTCGACGGTGAACGGCGCAACGACTGCTCCATGTTGTGTCGTACAAATCGTACAGGATTTTGCAGCTCACCCCAGCCCTCCCGACAAGTACCTTTGGCGTTGCGTCGAATGTGAACCAGGCTTAAAGGTGGTTTGTCAAGATGTTGACACAAGCTCAACTGATGAGGGGTGAATTCCCCGAAACACTGTGTATTGAGCAGGGAGTGGTGCTTTCTTGCAGGTTTGCCGAGTCGAAGGTTCGATGGACTTCTCGTGTGCTCTGGATGGCAGTCGTGAGTCAGTCAAGTGTCAAGTTAAGTCGGCGGAATAGCGCGAGCTCCGGTGTGGGGAGCAAACACTTTCTGCATTCACACGATCACTATAATTATTGCTGCCCGATAAAACCAGAATAATCCCTCTTTGTGCTCACCAGAAATATAAGATCCATCTGTAGTTGTCTTTGGAGAAATTGGTTGGAACTGCCCTGGACTTTGAGATGTTTGACTTTTTCCTTGCGCTGGCACTGGTGGAGGTGGTATGGTTATACCAGGGAGATCTGATTTGCACACGAAAGAAAATTAAAAAAAAATCATTGCATTACCCATGATGCCTTAAGGTGGTTTGTCAAGATGTTGTCAATCCAATCACTAGATATCAGTAACTACCTATCAGGCAGTTTAACCACATTGCATGGAATTACGTGATTGAAGAGTGGTGAGTGAACTATACACTGTCCAGATTCCATTTCCACGCGGATATGATCCTGCTACATGTATATCATTGGAGAAGTTCCTTGTTTAGACTTACCTGAAATGTTAGATGCAATTGGATTGGTCACTGCAGGCATTCCTTGCACTTTTCTTTGGGCTGTTACTGGTTTTGCTGGTACGGTTATGCCTGACACGTCCGCATCTGCAAGGAGATAAAAAACGACAAATTCCCTACATTACACATGATGTGTAGGTTCCAGTAACGCTTTCTTGTGACGATCATCAGTTGGAAATCCATCACAATCCGGTATTGAAGAGGTTCCAAACTGATCCTAAAGAGTGACTGGGATTCGAGAATTGTCCATGGGGATTTATCTAGGATTGAAGGAGTTCAAAGCCCTGCTGCTTTATACAAGCAGAACAAGCCCATTTTGTGATAATCAGAAATATATTCAGACCTGCATTCACACGATCAATATAATTATTGCTGCCCGATAAAACCAGAATAAACCCCTCTTTGTGCTCACCAGAAATATAAGATCCATCTGTAGTTGTCTTTGGAGACATTGGTTGGAACTGCCCTGTACTTTGAGATGTTTGACTTTTTCCTCGCGCTGGCACTGGTGGAGGTGGTATGGTTATACCCGGGAGATCTGATTTGCACACGAAAGAAAATTTAAAAAAATCATTGCATTACCCCTGATGCCTGAAGGTGGTTTGTCAAGATGTTGTCAATCCAATCACTAGATATCAGTAACTACCTATCAGGCAGTTTAACCACATTGCATGGAATTACGTGATTGAAGAGTGGTGAGTGAACTATACACTGTCCAGATTCCATTTCCACGCGGATATGATCCTGCTTCATGCATATCATTGGAGAAGTTCCTTGTTTAGACTTACCTGAAATGTTAGATGCACTTGGATTGGTCACTGCAGGCATGCCTTGCACTTTTCTTTGAGCTGTTACTGGTTTTGCTGGTAAGGTTATGCCTGAAACAGCCGCATCTGCAAGGAGATAAAAAACGACAAATTCCCTCCATTACACATGATGTGTAGGTCCTAGTAACGCTTTCTTGTGACGATCATCAGTTGGAAATCCATCACAATCCGGTATTGAAGAGGTTCCAAACTGATCCTAAAGAGTGACTGGGATTCAAGATATGTACATTGGATTTATCTAGGATTGGAGGAGTTCAAAGCCCTGCTGCTTTATACAAGCAGAACAAGCTCATTTTGTGATAATCAGAAATATAATCAGACCTGCATTCACACTACGAAGTAGTGGTTGCGACTTCGGCGATGATTTGTAAGAAAGGGTTTGCTCCCCACACCGGAGCTCGCGCTATTCCGCCGACTTTACTTGAAACTTGACAGACTCACGACTGCCATCCAGAGCACACAAGCTCAACTGATGAGGGGTGTATTCCCCGAAACACTGTGTATTGAGCAGGGAGTGGTGCTTTCTTGCAGGTTTGCCGAGTCGAAGGTTCGATGGACTTCTCGTGTGCTCTGGATGGCAGTCGTGAGTCAGTCAAGTGTCAAGTTAAGTCGGCGGAATAGCGCGAGCTCCGGTGTGGGGAGCAAACACTTTCTGCATTCACACGATCACTATAATTATTGCTGCCCGATAAAACCAGAATAATCCCTCTTTGTGCTCACCAGAAATATAAGATCCATCTGTAGTCGTCTTTGGATAAATTGGTTGGAACTGCCCTGGACTTTGAGATGTTTGACTTTTTCCTTGCGCTGGCACTGGTGGAGGTGGTATGGTTATACCCGGGAGATCTGATTTGCACATGAAAGAAAATTAAAAAAATCATTGCATTACCCCTGATGCCTAAAGGTGGTTTGTCAAGATGTTGTCAATCCAATCACCAGATATCAGTAACTACCTATCAGGCAGTTTAATCACATTGCATGGAATTACGTGATTGAAGAGTGGTGAGTGAACTATACACTGTCCAGATTCCATTTCCACGCGGATGTGATCCTGCTACATGTATATCATTGGAGAAGTTCCTTGTTTAGACTTACCTGAAATGTTAGATGCACTTGGATTGGTCACTGCAGGCATTCCTTGCACTTTTCTTTGGGCTGTTACTGGTTTTGCTGGTACGGTTATGCCTGACACATCCGCATCTGCAAGGAGATAAAAAACGACAAATTCCCTACATTACACATGATGTGTAGGTTCCAGTAACGCTTTCTTGTGACGATCATCAGTTGGAAATCCATCACAATCAGGTATTGAAGAGGTTCCAAACTGATCCTAAAGAGTAACTGGGATTCCAGAATTGTACATGGGGATTTATCTAGGATTGAAGGAGTTCAAAGCCCTGCTGCTTTATACACGCAGAACAAGCCCACTTTGTGGAGATAATCAGAAATATAATCAGACCTTCATTCACACGATTAATATATTGCTGCCTGATAAAACTAGAATAATCCCTCTTTGTGCTCACCAGAAATATAAGATCCATCTGTAGTGGTCTTTGGAGAAATTGGTTGGAACTGCCCTGTACTTTGAGATGTTTGACTTTTTCCTTGCGCTGGCACTGGTGGAGTTATAGTGGTTATACCCGGGGGATCTGATTTTCACACGAAAGAAAATTTACAAAACCCATTGCATTATCCATGATGCCTAAAGGCGTTTTGTCAAGATGTTGTTAATCCAATCACTAGATATCAATAACTAACTTACTATTGAAAACTATCAGGCAGCTTTACCACATCCCATCGAAGTACGTGATCCAAGAGTGATAAATATTGAAATATAAATTGTCAAAATTCTATTGCCGTTAGCAGAACCTGATGTGCTTCTGCTATATCATTGGAGAAGTCCCTTTTTTAGCCTCACCTGAAAAGTGAGATGCACTTGCACTGCTTGCTGCAGGCATTCCTTGACCTCTTCTTTGGGCTGTTACTTGTTTTGCTGGTAGGGTTGTTCCTGAACCATCCGCATCTGCAAAGAGACAAAATGACAAATTCCCCACATTCCACGTGATGTGTAGATTCCCAAGTGGATTATATGGGTCACAACCAGCTAAAACAGATTGAAAATTTTCTATTTTTTTTATTCCAATAAAGAGGTTTTGAAACCTTACTTGACCTATTGAATGCAGTACAGGGCGCGCAGGTAGTTTAAAAATGCCCCAAGCACCGCTTTGAAATTAATACACTTTGAAAGAGTGAAGGACAGTTTCCGAGCAGTCGAACACAAACATGTGGCTATTGTGAAGGAGCACAATGCAAAGAAAACATTTCTGATAATGACACAGAATTACGCATGTTATGGTAAAAAGGAGACGGAAAAATGTTACGAGTTATGGCTGTATATGATCTGGATAGAGTTGGTGGACAGTTAGTTATAACTCGGGACATTTTGTCCTTTTGCTTTTCACCATAATTAAATTGGCTCACCGTCTGAGTTCAATTGAGCATATCGACGGCATTAGTACCAAATCACGGACCAAGTTTTTCTTGGAAAGCACCAGGATGCTCTGGGCAGCATTTCCCTTTCTTACTTTTCCGCCACCGGTTCATGAATGAAGCGCAGTGTGAACCTGCTCGGCCAAAACAGTTTTCCATTCCGTCTTTTCTCTTCTTCTTTTTTTGACAAAGACATTTTTTAGCTGAACTTGGCCCATATACATTTCAAATAGCACTTTCTCCCTGCAGCTAGGTGAAATATCATCTCTTGTCGAGCTGTGTCACGTGATTCCAGGACAATATCACGAAACAACCCACAGATAACTAACGCTTTCTCACACACTGCATATCTCGCTACATATCACATGGTAATTGTTATGCTGGGCATGCCACATTCATGGTATGTAGCAGAACTCTCAGGGCGGGGTCGGAATATCAATTTTCATTGCATGATGGATTCAGTTCGTGAAACCCAGAGTTACGAAACCGCAAATTCTCGTTCTTCTGGCTGTGCACTTCAAACAGCCTGAACCCAAGTACTAAATATGTCATTGTTCAGGATAAAAGAAGTGATAGCGTGATACTTACAGTCAAGGGACATTTAGTGCCAATATCAGAACCGATATTGGCAGCAATAAGTCGAACTTTTTCATCCATGATATGATACTGCAATCGAAATGAAGCTGTAGATATATAATTTGGGCATTCATTACTCGACAACACAAGGCAAGATTGGTTTTAACCCTTTCACTACCCACTATTTTCGCAGTTGAGTCAATTCAAAGTCTACAGAAATACGTTATCGTGCGCCAATTATGACCCAAGGAGTGAAAGTGATAGTTGCAGTCGATAGTCAAGGTCTTTCTGAAGACGTAGAGCCCTCATTTGTAATAATCCGACAATATTTGAGCGTGTGACGAAATATTTAGTGATCGCCTATTGCATCGATCCACATGGATCGAAATTTGAATGGCTGGTAGTGAGAGGGTTAAGGATTCCAGTAACGCTTTCGTGTGACGATCATCAGTTTGAAAATCTATGACGATCTGGTATTGAAGAAGGTCCAAACTGATCCTAAAGAGTCACTGGGATTCCAGAACTGTGCATGTGGATTTATCTAGGATTGAAGGAGTTCAAAGCCCTGCTGCTTTATACAAGCAGAACAAGCCCACTTTGTGATAATCAGAAATATAATCGGACCTACATTCACACGATCAATAATATTGCTGCCTGATACAACCAGAATAATCCCTCTTTGTGCTCACCAGAAATATAAGATCCATCTGTATTGGTCATTGGTGAAATTGGTTGGAACTGCCCTGGACTTTGAGATGTTTGACTTTTTCCTTGCGCTGGCACTGGTGGAGTTTGTATGGTTATACCCGAGAGATCTGATTTGCACACGAAAATTATAAAAAAAAATCATTGCATTACCCATGATGCCTAAAGGTGGTTTGTCTAGATGTTGTCAATCAAATCACTAGATATCAGTAACTACCTATCAGGCAGTTTAAGCACATTTTTTATTTTATTTTTTTACTATGTTCACATAACCAGCTCGAAAAGAATAAGGAAAGACAATGGTACGGAGACTAGGACAAAATGACAAGTAATGAGCAGGCGCTGTGCCTAGACGCAGCAGTGATGGTGCGGCATTGATGACTCTGCCGACCTGAGGTCTCGGTGTCACGGCCAAAAACACGCACCAAAACGCACCAAAACAAGGATAAAATATGATTGTCACCTCGATGTCCAGTTGGAGGCTTCAGGCAAACGTTTCAAAAACCAGAGTACTGTTTCTAACAGATTCTGCCTCAATGTTTAAGTTCACCTTTCCCAATTCACCCACAGAAATTCAGTCGGTAAAGGAGCACAAACACCTAGGGGTAATGTTCGATTCATCCATGTCCTGGTCGGCTCATGTAGATTACATTTGTAATAAAGTCAGCCGTGCTCTTGGCTATATTAAAAGTCATTGTAAACATCTCTCTATTCCGTGCCGTTCCGCTATATACAAAATTTTTCTCCTTCCATTGTTTGAATATGCTACCACAGCCTGGTGTGGCCTAGCTAAGGTCTTATCCGATTCCATTCAAGTTCATCATAAGAAAGTTCTAAAAATTTTGTTCTCGAAGAAACCTTCCTTTCCCTCCAATGAGTTGTACTTATTAGCTCAGACTACTCCGTTAGAGCAACGCCGACTAACTTGCCTCTGTAAGTTGGTTCATCGAATGCTCTTGGGTTGTGTTCCTGAACATATAAAGCCTTATAACTGGTTTGTTTCGGGCCGCTCAACCAGAAACAAAGTGTCTGTTCCCAAGGCCAAGTCAACGCAATTCACAAGATCGCCATTCTTCCAGGGCTACTGTGCATGGTTACAACTTCCCGAATCAGTGAAGACTTCTGCATCATTGAAAGAATTTAAAGTGAATCTGAGGGCCTGCTGATGACTGATTGCACCATAATAATAATACTTGCAAGTAAAAACTAATCAATATAGCTTTTCGGCTGTTTCCTTTTCATGTACATGTATATAATCTTCTCCTTCTTTTACCGTGGTTGGCTATCACCCACATCTTCCCGTTTTGGCTGCCATCGGAAGCCATAAGATGTTGAATAGAAAAAGAAAAAAAGAAAAAAAGAAGATAGAGCTGTACAGGTCAGAAAGATGCGAAAAACCCGCAAAACCCAAGGCTTAACACGAGTGAGTGTGGGGAGAAACTATCATAGCATCATACTATTCATAGGGAATCGACTGCCCAGAGCCAGTTTGTGCTGCGAAGATGGCGATAATCGTTCGTTTTGAATGATTGCATTCTCTTGCGGTGGGGAGGCTGGGACAGGAGAGCGGCAGGGAGGGAGTTCCAGTCGCTGATGCTGCAGTGTGGGAAGGAGCGCTTCAGCGCCAGCGGGGCAGATGCAGGCAGGTGGTGTTGGAGCTGGTGGTCATGGCCACTAACACTACCGTGCTCGCTGCGGGTTCTGGGGTTGGCAGAGGTGATATGGCGTGGTGGCAACACAGAGAGCACCGGCGGTGGACAAGGCAAGTAGTGCAGCTTGTACAGGCAGGCAAGCGAGGCAACAATACGGCGGATGGCCAAGCTGGGTAGGTGTGCCCCAGGATGTGGGGCGGCTCTGTTTAGGACCCCAAGCTGTTGGCGTGCATGGGTGGCTACGGAGCATAGGTGATCGCCAAAGGTCAACTTGGCGTCCACCTTCACACCAAGGAGGGTGATGCTGGTTGTCTCGGGCACCAGTGTGCCACCAAACAGGAGTGGGGGGAGATCTAAGCCGGCGCATCTGAGGGTGGCTGTCATGGCCTGGGATTTATTTGGTTCAAAAGTCACTTTCCACGTACGGCCCCACTCGTGCAGTCAGTCAACGGACACCTGCAGTGACTGCGCTGCGACTTCCGGGGTCTGCTGGGAGGTGACTAAGCTGTATAAGGTTGTGTCATCGGCATAGGCCTCCAAGCTGGCGCCGTCAGCGAGAACGTCTGGCGCGTCGTTGACGTACGCCAGGAAAAGCGTTGGACCAAGAATGCTTCCCTGGGGGACTGCAGCGGAGGTCGTATACGAAGCTGACGTACGCCCTCCAACAAGGCACTGTAATGAACGGGTGTCCAGGTACGAGGCAAGCCATCTCTGGAGCGGACCATCGATGCCCAGGCTGCGCACCTTGTGGAGGAGGCCGACATGAGAGACACGGTCAAACGCTCCTGCGATGTCCACAGCAAGGATACGAGCCGCCCCTCCGCAGCCCACAGCGCTTGCCCAGGCAGTTTGGAGAGCTTGCAAAGCGTCTGATGTGCCGAGGCCTCTGCGAAATCCAAACTGGTGCGACGTGAGCAGATAGTGGTCCTCAAAATAGTTTACGATGTGTGTGTTTACTAGAGTTTCCATGAGTTTCGAGATTATGCACAGTAAGGATACGGGCCTATAGTTCTTAAGGGTTGAGCGGGAAGATCGCTTGTGGATCGGAACCACGTTGGCCGTCTTCCACATCCTAGGTTGGACTCCAGACCGGAAGCATAAAGCAAATAGCTTGGACAGTGGCTCTGCGAGCTCGTGGGCACATTCCTTAAGGACGCGAGCAGAAATACCGTCAGGCCCTGTAGCCTTGGAGACATCGAGCTTTGCCTGAAGGCGGCGCACAGCCTCTGGGCGGAAGCGGATGGTGCGAAGAGGCGGAGCATCTGAGGGAGCAGGGTCCGGTAGGTCAGCCTCCACAAGGGCCGGACCGGCAACGCTGCATTTCTTCGAGAAGAAGCGAGCGAATGCCTCTGCTTTCTCTGAGCTTGTTGCCCACTCGCGGCCGTCAGAGTCGACAATTAGGGGAATTTCGGGCTGTGTGTGGTTGCCTGCAGCGCTCTTCAACTTCGTCCACCACTGTTTGTCTCTGAGGGACCCAGTTGAAAGGCTGCGACGGAGGCTGTCCTCCTTTGCACGTCGTGATCGGAACTGGGTGGCGATCGCTACAGTCACAAAATTGGTGAATGCCTGCTGAAGTGCTGGGTCATAAGGGTGTTTTCTCCAATCGCGCCAGCGCTTCTCCTTCTCCCTCTCGGTCTGGGTGCATTCAGGCGTCCACCATACCGGATCGGAAGGCCTCGTTTCCAGAACTTTGGATGGGACAAACTGTGCAACAGCTGCAGTTATCGAAGCGGTAACCTGCTCACACGAAGTTTCTGGGTCGTCCGTGATGATATTACC